GTACATTATTTGGCCGAGTGGCAGATATAGGAGATAAAAAGTTGCCCAGCAATAGATGCGGCCCTGGCTCTTAGCGCATTCTGTCAGACTTGCTAGAGTATTATTTGCTCTGCATCTTGATTAGGGTCTAAAGCTTCACAAATCCTAGGAGCCAGCAATAAAACACAAAAAATGATGGCAAAAACGAAGGCTTGGTTTTCAACATGCCTCAATTAGGATAGGCAACCGTGCCCTTCATTTTCTGCTACTAACCAGATCTCCTATGTGACCGGACAAGCTTGGAAAACTGATCATAAATATCTCCAGCCCCTACGCCTTTGCTTGCGTGATAGCTTTGTAACCACTCAATAGTCGAGCAGGCCTTGCGTTCGAGGCGACCCGATATTTTCTTCCTCTTTATTCAAGTCTACTTTTCTAAAGTTTTGCGAGCTTTCCATTGGTCCTTGACAAAGTCCGTTTGAGGCCCCATTTACGTCCTTTCGAGCTCTATCCCTCCACGCCCGATTGCCTCGATGAAAATGAAACCCACTCCTGGCTGTTCAGACATTGGCCCCGAGTTTTACCATTTGAAAACCATCGAGAGGAGTTCCCTCAATGCAGAACTTGTAGCGTTTGTCGAAAAAGCCCATTCATCGCTTCAGTCACGAGGACGCTTTAAGCAACGGGATTGCCACAAGAGATCTCTCCTTCATTACGCTGCCATGGGGAACTGTACAAACCTCCTCCTATGTCTCCTGCAAAGCAAGGCAAATGTTGATTCTCGTGACCAGTGGGGGCGGACACCCCTCTCCTGGGCTGCTGAGTACGGCTCATTAGCTGTTGCGAAAATTCTACTGGAGCAAGGGGCAAACGTCAATGCATTGGATTATGAGGGCGGTTCACCGTTGACATGGCTGATGCACGCCGGCAACCCTGAAATAACAAGCCTAGCGGCTACTGAGACTTACCTAAGAGAGAGGGGCGCGAAAGAAGTCAAATTGAGAGGCATCAAGTGGGCCTGGGTTTGGGTTTTGAGTTATTCTCGTTTACTCCGATACATTCGCCCGCGTATCTATGGCCCCCGATGACATGGAGAAAGCTGATTCTATACTATACCAATATGTATATTAGATGAACGTCATAATTGGCGCAGCTGGAAAGCTCTGCGGCGAGAGGCTGGGCCATCCGATTTCACAGACACTCTTGTTTTCTTTCTTTCGAGGAAATTTGGTCTTGTTGAAGTAGAGATAAAAAGAAAGCAAGTTGATTTGAGCACAATGAATATGCGGATATATTTTATTAGTAAAAACCCGAGTCTTGCCTGGCGATCCAAGACTGTAATATAGGGGATACGCGTACTCGTTTCCACTTTAGCCTGTAAAGAGGCAGATACATTCGACCCCGAACTGTCTACTAGAAGGCTTTGAGTTCATGATTCTTTGCATTGACCATATTCTTGAGCGTACCGAGTAGCACTAAGTCTTGCAAACTTTGTTTAGTATGGCAAAGGCCCTGGGCGATGCTTGCAAGCAGGATAAGACGACATATTCATTGCCTATTCTCTTTAGGCTGTAAAGGCAACCTAGCTTGTACATAATAGATAGAATGGCATAATGTTATGGAGATGGCCCCTTGTACTAGAGGTTATGCCACAGCTTTTCTGAGTCAGGGTATTATGCAACTTTAGAGCGGTTATATGTCTTTGGGCTGAACGACAATGGTACAGACTATAAATTCTCCATCGCTCTTGAAATTTATCAAGTATACACCAGACTTCTCGAATGCGTTTCGAACGGGCTACTGGACAGAAGTAGAAGACAATACTACGAGGTTCTTGATATTCTACGGTGGCGTGCCTTTGTGGGCCCTGCGGACTTCGTAATTATTTTCAGAAATGAATTGCGCATTTCTATATCACGACATCGTCGGGGCTTCTAAGGATTTCCACCTCCTTCGCACCATCACAGAACATACGTTGCTCTCTGCTCACTTCGTGATGCGTTCGTGTTCAATGGATTCGAAGTCGGAGGCTTTATTACGATCATTATGGAATATACGCACTGGACCATTTCCTTGATAACCAGTAGGTGAGCCTTCAGAGAGCCTGCAGAGCAGCCCAAATATAATCGTAAACAAGGGATGCTTTATCTTCTTAAAGCAGAAGGCGATAAGCTAAAGCTCTACTATAAAAAACACGAGGGAAAAACTTGGGTGATTTTCCTCTTGATCGAAGCCCGTGTGGCACCTCTCCTCGTTGCACCATTCCTTCTCAGATAATCTATCGTGGCTGCTCGGTTCGGGCCCCTACCCGCTTGTATCAGCCACGACAACGGTGTTGTATACATATCGTCCATGGAATTGATCTCCACTCCGTTGTCCAGCAAAAGCCTCACCGCACGCAATGCACTGTATTGCACAGCCCAAGAGAGAGGCGTTCGCTTGTTCTGGTCGAGGTCATCCTTTGCTGTCCCATCTTGTAGGAGATAAAGAAGGAGCTCGACACAGTCACCCATTGCAGCATAGTGAATGAGTGATCTTTTGAAAGGTCCTCGCTGGCTGCATATCCCTTTGTATTTGAGCGTTGACTGTGCGTCCTAGAGAAACCCCATGACGTCTTCGTCAAAGCATATCTCTCTGATGCCTTTCAGGCGTTGGAATTCGCCATCAATGACAGTCATGGAGCGAGGAGGAATTGTCATATTGATTGTAGGTAACTTGGGAGGGCCATATGAAGAGAGACAAGAGAGTTCCCTCCTCACCAAGTACTGTAGGATGAAATAGTTAACTAATTCTTGGGGGGTGTCTGGGTATTAGAAAATTCGTTTGATCTAGAGTGGAGTATGTTCCCTAGCCAATTATACTCATTAAACACCTTACTTCTTTCACTGCGTTATTAAAAAGATAAATAAATTAATCGGTTTGTTATTCTTTTCGACCATTTTGTAGTCAGTTTCCTGAGACAACCAATTGTTTAATTACCGGCTATAAATCTTCTCTTGCCCGTTGGTTGACCTTCATGCTTTCACCAGCATTGATAGGCCTTTAAACACTCGTTGACAACTTAGCACGCTATTAATTATTCGATCCTTATTTATTTAGTAGTACTGGTATCGTCGTTGACAATGCACGTTCGGTCGACTCCTAGATAGCCGTTGCATTCTATCGTTTATCAACATGATGATTCCTCACTCCAAAAACTTTTTTGGCCCATTTAATGTATCACTTCTTCTTTCTGTTGCCCACACTATGTCTGCATTTCAATTTGTATTATTAAAACTGATCGACGAGGCTATCTCCTAGGACTGGTCAGCATGGCAATCGCTCTTCAATTTCTGTAAGAGTTTGATGTTCTGAGCAAATGTACGAATATATGTAGGAAGTGTTGGCTCCACAGGCAGCCAGATATGACGAAGAAGGTCGCGTGTGAGTGGGTGTTTGGTTAAGAAGTGAGGGTAAGTTCTGCCAAGGAATGAACAGTCCCAGGAGAACTTCGGCCAGATCATTCTGAATTGCTATGGTCGTAGAGCGTCCACCTGGCATGGAATCCTCTGAGGACTGATACTCTGTCAGCTCGCTTTGGAGGGTCACAGTGGCCGTTTGGGACGCAGATCGAGCCAGCCTGTGCACATGGGTACGGTGTCATGGATGTGTCTCATGAAATGGAATGTCTTCTGTCGTCGCGTCCTGGAGCCTTTTGGTGCGTACGACCAGGCAGTACTCAAAAAGAGAGCTCCTCGCAGTTTATAATTGTCGAATATATTTTCAGGTGCGGTCGCGCCTTGGTCGTAATTGCACGGTTCTTCTCCAATTGTATCGGATGAGACAGCATCCCCAGAACCACCTAATGGATGATAGACCGAAAATATCGTCTCAGGACCAGAGATTCAAGCGTGTGAAATGATAGTTCAGCGTGTAGTAGGAAGGGAGTTGGAGTAATGTGCTCGCCACTTGCACACCACTGACTTCTCCGTCCTGTGACAAGCTACTAAAACAGCGGAGAGCAAAGTTGTCCGTTCCTTTTCGCCGAAGCCTGACGTCTGCCGCGCTTGGGGCAGCAATAGAGCTTGCTCGATCAATGGCTTGTTTCAACAACGCAGCCTTCGCTACCATCTGACCACGTGAAACGTCATCCTTGGTCGCATAGTTAGTGATGTAGTAAAGAGCGACAGAGACTTTAACACGGTCGGGATCCAGGAAATATCATGATGAAATTATAAAGGTATACAGTATACAGGTAAGATACAATGACTCTTTAATAGGAGAGGTCTGGAACGATGTGTATTGCCTTCTTGATGCAAGACTAATTATTGTCAGAACTATCCTGGGTCTGGGGACCCAAAGCTATTTGTGACAAGATCAGAGCGGGGTAAGGTGTCGATCCGGTCCCCGGTCAAGTCCTTTATCAACATTTCCCTTTGGCCATTATCAGTCAGGTGATTCATTCATACCAACTGATATATCGTTCCAGTATTGTCAGGGGCATTATCCATGACACAAGCACTAGTTGGCAAGGCAGCGACGTGATCCGAATGGAATGTCCAATCACACAGGGTAAAAGGGGACTGGACGGCACGAAACGACACCGCAAAAATCTGGATTGGAGTAGGAGTGCTCGGTGCGGCCTCCGTGCTTCATCTTATGCTGTGGGGGAGATGTAAAACGGAAGCAGGAAGACTGGGCGAGTACGACTCCGTCCTCGTACCCTACGCTGCCCCTGGCTTGTAGAACCTTGTGGGAATCTTGTGCGTGGCCAATTCATGCGCCGCCATGGGGAGCTCGATTCAGCCCGACAGGCGAGACGCGATTTATTTTCTTCCTTCAAACTACCGCATCTCTTGGCAAGCCTAGTGCCGTTGTCCTCTGTTGTCTTTTGTTCTCTTTCTCCTCGCTTATCTCCGCTACAGTTGTGGCCTTCTTGTGTCACTACTGATCTTAGCCTCTTTTACTATGTATTTGTTCTCCCCCTTTGTTCTCCTCCCCAAATTTGACTTGTGTTCGTCAGTTGCACACCACAATCCATCATGCCGTCGACGGTTGAAGAGAAGCAGCCCATGGAGATGGACGAGGCCTACGTCCCGGATACGCCCGAGACTGGCGGTTTGTCGGCCACGGACGATGAGCCAATTGACCCCAAGGCGGAGCGCAAGCTGCTGCTGAAGCTTGATCTTGTCATCTGGCCTGTCTTCTTTGTGATCTACATGATGTCCTTCTTGGACCGCATCAACATCAGCAATGCTCGCATCCAGGGCATGGCCGCTGAGCTCGACATGCTTGAGGGCACCCGCTTCAATATAGCCCTCTTTGTAAGTTTCGCGAGAAAAGTAGCAAAACTGAGTGCGACCAAAGTCAGGGCTAACTTTGATGCGCAGGTATACTACATCTCATACATCATCTTTGAGATCCCCTCCAACATGGTCATCAGCAAGTTCCGCCCTTCCCTGTACCTGACGAGGCTCATGTTCTGCTGGGGCATCATCAACATGTGCATGGGTTTCGTTCACTCATACGGCGCCCTCGTTGGCCTCCGATTCCTCCTAGGTATCTTCGAGGCCGGCGTGCTCCCCGGCATCATCTACGTCACGTCGCTCTACTACAAGCGCCACGAGTACCAGAAGCGCGTGTCCTTCTTCTTCTGCAGCACGGTTGTGGCTGGCGCCTTTGGCGGCCTTCTGGCGTACGCCATTACTGGCCTGGCTGGGACCCACGGTTTAGCCGCGTGGCGCTGGATCTTCATCATCGAGGGCGCCCTCACCTCTGGCCTGGCAATCCCCTTCAGCTTCCTGGTCATTGACTGGCCCGAGCAGACCAAGTACCTCAATGCCGAGGAGAAGGACCTGCTGCGCCACCGCATGGCACTCGACGTCGCCGACGCGTGCCGCATGGATACCCTCAATAAGTCATCGGCCAAGCGCGCCCTGGGCGACTACAAGATCTGGCTCGCGGGCTTCCTCTACATGGGGGTCAGCGTGGCTGGCCTGTCTGGCACCTTCTTCCTGCCTACGATCCTCAACGAGTTTGGCTGGAAGGCCCAGCAAGCCCAGGTCCGGACCATCCCTATCTACGTCTTCGCCGCCGGGATGATGATCATCGGCGCGTGGGCCTCTGACCGGCTCAAGCACCGCTTCGGCTTCATCATTGCTGGTGCCCTCATGACCACCGTTGGCTACTCGATGCTGCTCAACCAAGTCGGCAAGTCGCGCGAATACAAGTTCGGAGCCGTCTTCCCCATCTTCGGAGGTGCCTATATGATCGCCCCTATGTGCCTGGGCTGGTTGCAGAACAACCTGTCCGGCCGCTGGAAGCGAGCCTTCGGCGCCTCCATCCAGGTCATGGTCGGCAACGTCGCTGGTATCATCGGCGCCAATATCTTCCTCATCAGCGAGAGCCCCGTACCCGGCCCCAACGGCCAGGTCTACACCGGCCGCCCCTACGTGACAGGCTACAGCGTCTCACTGGCCTTGATGTGGTTTGGTGCTATTTCTGCCACGGCCATGTTCTTCCTCATGCGCCGCGAGAACAAGAAGAGAACTGCTGGTGAGCGTGACCAGATCCTCGATCTGCCCGAGGAGGAGAGGAACAACCTGGGTGACCACCACCCTAGCTTTCGGTTTACTCCGTAAGGAGATGAGACGACGATTCGTCCGAAGCATATAGGTCTGGGTCTGGGTCTGGGTCTACTCTCAAAAAAAAAAGAGAAGAAAAAAACAATTGTCATTAACAGATGTAGACTTTCAAGTTGGCAACATGTCCACTTCTTGGTATTGCTCGTCTAGCTACTACCTAGGCCTGTTGGCATACATATCATGTAGCTTGCGTGATATTTCTTGGACTTCCCTGCCGAGAGAGTCTTCAAGATTTTTAGTAATTATTACTTGTAAATAAAAACAAATCCTATCGGAGTATTCTCACGTGCCCATTCCACCATGCATCCGCGTAAAATACGCTATGTTCGATTCGATATTGCCCTCTCCTGTCCTGTTCTGCCCCAAAGTCCCAATGTAACAAGCCCACTCCAAACCTGGCTTTGGCCCTTACCCAGCCTGCGGACTCGTCTGTTCGCTCGCTACTTGCCCTACCCACTATAGGTGGAGCAATGCCAACAGGCACAGCACATCTCCCAGGTAGATCTCAATAGCGACTCCATTCCCTACAGCCTACGTTGCAGGGGATCAAGGGGTAGGAGGCTAGGCCGTGGACTCGGTTGAACCCACTCGCCTGCTGGGTGGGCTTGGCCGCTTGGCCTCCACGCTGACTTGTTGGGGGGGGGATGGCATGGCCCCTAAAAGTAAAACGGCTCGGCGCCGCCCTGCGCAGAACCTGAATGGCTCAACCCTCGCCCGCGTCTGAGTCTACTCTTTGCCGCAGCCGGTCTTTATTTTCGACGTTTCTTTTTGGTAATACTGCTTTTACTGATCCAGAACTGCGGCGACTAAAACCGCCCATCATGTACACGGCGTCGGTTGCCTTCTTCGAGGCCATCTGGGATGCTGGCATCACGCACTGTTTCGTCAACCTGGGCTCGGACCACCCCAGCATCATGGAGGTCATGGTGCAGAGGCAGCACGATGGACGGTTCTTTCGTATTATGACCTGTCCCAGCGACCCATGGATCGAAGACCGGATCTGTCATGCGCCCTTCGCCCTCTTGCTCGGTGATGTACGTTGAGAGGATTCCGTCTGTTAGGGCTGGTTTCTCATTTATCTGTGGCCCAGGGATCAGTCTCCCTGGAGTCTTCCCCAGAGTTTCCCTAACTATTTCATCGGATTGTTCATCAATATGCACCTCTGGTTCTTCAGTGACTCCACATTCTGCTTGTATCTCCCGCGATGACTGTCCTTCGGGCTGTCTATCCATCCCAGGCACATGTCCGTCATCGGCCTTTGTTATTCTCGAATTATGTGTAAGGCGTGGAGGGGTATGATTTCTGGTATATAGGGATTTGAACACTGTTTCGGTGAGGATAGGGTCTTTATTGTTTAGATTAATCGCGTGTTCGGTCTCCTGAAAACCCCCGCCGCTTGTTAGCCTGAGTCTCAAAAAGCTTAGTAGGTGGAATCTGTATCACCTTCAGTTCCATCGCCGGCGTAGTCGGTGCATAGGAACCGCGAATTCTCGCGCAGTTTTCGTGATATTAGGCTTTGTCTGCTCAGATAGAGAGTCGAGAGCTAGCAGAAGCTATTTCTCCAATTCTCTATTGATTTTAGGCATTTTGGTGGTGTGGGTAGTGAGAAGGTAAAAGTGTAAGATTATAAAAAAAACGTTGCATATAGCTGGCGGGACCCTCGCTTGCGAGGGTCTGTATTTTGGTAAAAAATGTAAGGGCCGGTTATATCTCTGGGAGGAGGACCCAACCTCCCGTGGACCTTGGCGCCGCTTAGCTGCATATGCACGTTAGTGTCAAGACAGAGCATAGCCACAACCCAAGTCTGTGTGCAGTCAGCGACTAGCGCACGCGTCATTTACGGTGAAGGTGTGCGCTCTTCTGTATTGGTCACCGTGGATACGAATGTAGCCGAAAGCGCATTAAAAAAGGAGGCAATTGGTTAAATTAGGGTTGCCATCGGCCGTAATTGGTTGAAAGGATTGGAATCCGTGGATTCGACGATAGATTAACGGCGTCGGAGATGCAGGAGCCTGGCACTGGTAGGTAACTTGACGGCGCGAGGTCGTATATAAGGGAAATACTCGGGGAGCGCCATATCTAGAGGAGAGAAAAGGGGCAACGAACGAAGCTTGAGTTGCTATCCGAAGAAACAAAAACCAGATAAGGGATCTAAGAGGAGAGGAGTAGAGAAGGCGAGAACAATATAGTGGTCTTACATCACCCGCATATGGACCCTGCATCATTACCCAGCTCCACCACTCACACGGGCCTTGGAGGCTGTTGGATCTCAGAATCAGGCTACTCTTGGCGAATAATCTTCGACAATCGGATAATTGTGTGTGCTTGGCGCGTGGTTCTTTCCCTTTGTGTGGGGCAACCCTGTAGGATTGGGGGCCAATTCCCAGGGGAGTCCGTCTGCAGATCGTCCACGGGTATCTTCTGACAACTCTATGCCTGCATATTTCTGCCATAGAGTGAGCGGGTTATTGAGGTTATATTCGGTCTTCCGGGGTAGAGACCGCTAACAATCACGATCTCCGTTTTTAAGACCTTGGATTTCCCCCCTGGTGCTAGCACTCTTCGTCTCCCGGGTTTTTCTCTTCCCTCCCCAACCCCCCAACTCCCTTTACACGGAGGAAGTGCATTGATCCTTGATCCACTCATGATCGCCTTAATCGCCTTGATCGCCTTTGTCCGAGAAGAACATGGCATTTTCACCTTCCCGTCGAGCCCCCGCCGCCTCGTCGGGTCCCTTTGTCTGCACTGATCCCGACTGTCGTAAATCCTTTCTACGGAAAGAGCATCTCAATCGCCATCTGGTCACACATACAAGCTCGCGTCGACATAAATGCTTCATCTGTGGGCGAAGTTTTTCCAGGAGGTAAGAGCCGCTCGCTGGTCGCTTGGCATCTTGGCTGTAGAAAACGATCGGCTGATTGATCCAACAGTGATATTTTGAACCGACACCTGCTCCAGCATAAGTTACCTCCAGACGGCGCAAAAAGAACACCGTTAGCATGCCAAACGTGTCGCCGTCGTAAAACAAAGTGTGATTCGAACTACCCCTGTTCCACATGTGCCGACAGCGGGGAACCCTGCGTGCGTGGACCATCTAACATGCAGGTATTCATCCCTGCCACGCGATCGATCCGCAAGGGTTCCCTGCAGGAGGAGAGGCCAATCGAACCTACAGAGGAAGTAGACCACGAGAGGGCTAGAAATCCGATCATCCCAATTGCAGAGGATATACCCCCCATGCGACTAGATTGGAATCCACCGATGAACAGAAGTGCGAGCAACAGTTTTGCCAATACTTGGAGAAATCTGGAGGCAGATCAAGACCCCCTGCGACCGCTAACCGATCCATTAATGAGCACGAAGTCCGGGATCGACACAAGCACATCCACCCCGAACACAACTCCTCCTTTGTACTATGGCGAGACATTGGACATTATGAGCTTCCCATTTGACACCCTAGTACGGCAATCTTCAGAAACCAGAGATCACTTCGGTATAGATCAATGGTCTGAAATACTCATGAGCGATGTACCAACCTTGACCCTCAGCCGCAGTTTTTCAAGTGAGCGGAAGCTACAAGCTAGTACATTTAAGAACGACTCTGATAAAATTTAGCAAACACAGCTACGTCAATACCCAGAATGACTGGCCCTGAGATATCTCCCCCAGCATCATCTAGTGGGTGGTTGCAGCTGCACGAGGTCATTACGAGCCAAGTCCAGTTCGTTACTTCACAGGTCAAATCCATTGACTTCGAACATTTCCATCAAGCGTGGCCATTTTTACACGTTCCCACTTTTGCACCCGAAAAGCAGACTAATCTGTTGACAAGTGCGTTGGCCAGCCTATTAATGTGGATGCAAAATATTAACCATCACCATCTGGTACCGTGCGCAATCAACCAGGAACTAACATGGGCACTAATGCCTAAGATAGTGAGTGCCGCTTCTATGGTGGACCAAGCTTTGCAGTACGGAAATATTAATATTGGAATAGACGGAACAAGCCTTGACAGCAGACCCAACAACTGACATATCATTACCAACTCTACAAGCATTGGTCATCACCTTAATCTATGCGATTCTCGGAGATGTAGGATTTCTTCCTCGATAGCCAGAAAACGGAACAGGTTAACTAATAGTCCTAGGCACCTGCATCTAGTTTGAACTGGGCAGCACAGTGGACCGATATCGCAATCTTCACTTTGCGACGGCTCGGTGTCTTGGATGATCGCTGGCACCCGGAAGAACACGTACAATCCGCTGACGATCGATGGGTCCAAGCTGAGGAGATGAGACGGTACACCCCGAGCTTTTCCCCATATCTACAACCACACACTTTCTAATACCTCATTAGGCTGGTATACGCGGTTTTACGCATTGATACCTATTTGTGCATTATTCTCGATCGCCCCCTACCATGCGTTACCAAGAGTTCGGACCGCCACTGCCTGTGTCAGACGATCTCTGGCGAGCAAAAACCAGGGCGGACAGAACAAACTTGCAGTGGTATGAACCGGCAGGCCGGACCAAAAGTGCATTTTTCACAATGGTTCGCGACGGACTGGAGTCGCGGGGGTTTATGACTGGGTGTCTTCGAATGCCTCAACTGTCCCTGGAGGATAATCATTTCAGTCTCTGTGCGTTCTTGTCGGAGCTATGGGGGGTTTCTAAAGAGGCCCACGAGGAACATCATCGACACTACCGCTCACCTGAATTGAACCGCACCGCAGACCGAGTCAAGCTCTGGAAAGGATATCCTCAGGACTGGCGAATCCATATTGAAGATACCGACAAGCTGGAAGATGCCTTCTTTGGGGAATGTTTAAGCGACTGCAACCATTTCCTCGGTCTCGACCTTACCCTGTACCACCTTCTCTGCCTCAAGCTCTATGCCAATCTCCGGTTGCTCGAGCACAAGAAATGCTGCTCGGGTTGCCAGGAAGCCAACAGCGAAAATGTCATTAGTATCTGGGCTCGATCTCCAGACGGTCGTCAGGCGGTCTACCACGCCGCCCAATTGAAGCGTATCTATGAGCGTGAGAGCAGACTCTACAAGCCCAACGACCAACGTCTGTGCAACGTACTAGGACCTGCTGGCTTGTTTGCTAGTGCCATAGTTCTCTGCACCTACAGCGCCAAGGCGCCTGGCGTTAACACGCCTGAGGGCGACACCGTTATGACAGCGCCGCATGATGAAATCGAGCTGGGTCAGTCGAATCTGGTGGGCTCGCCTGAATTCGAGAATTGGATTTCTGAGGGTGGCCCCGCGAGCGTGGACGGGGTCTCCCTGCATCCTTTTTCGGTACCCCTCTTCTCGTCATGGCACCGTGATCGGTTAGAAACATGCCCTGTCTACTCGTCGCGGTTGGTCACCTTCCTCCTCACATTAAAGTTCTGATGACCACACAAGTGTATGTGATTCGCCATATGATGCATGGAATGATTATAAAATAACAGACGCTCTAATTAGCTTTGATCTCCCTTCAACAACGCCCTAAATTAGCTGTGGTCTGCAAGGTTGTTCCGTTGTTCCCTGCTGTCTGACGGAGATCTCCGTATAGAGTATTTAAAGCCGAACATATACTACCTAGGGGTAGGAGAGGAGCCTAGATGATCATTATTAGGTACAACAGTTTATCCTATCTATAGCGCACTCACCCTTCTATCCCATCACCCACTCACCACCACCTTAACCCTTTACATTGTATAGTCCCATCTCATCCATAACAAGTTACATACGACCATAGGGTGTGGAAAACAGGGCTTCCCGTCCGCTCAGCCGTACTTAAGCCACACGCCGGTGAGTTAGTAGTTGGGTGGGTGACCACCAGCGAATCCTCACTGTTGTATGTTTTTGCTTTTTGGATTTGGTTGGCTATGTATATAGCAAACAAGGAATTGCGCTTATTGCTGCTTTTACCGATGTTCACTAGTGTCCCCCCTATAGGTCATTATAAATGACAGAAAGCTGAGGCATCCAGCGTTCTCTATTGGCCTTGGGTTGCTATTCTGGGAGCAGGCATAGGAAGTGCAATGCGTGGTTGGTCTGCTACTCGAAAGTTCTAGAAGCCTTCGCGAGCCATGTGATGATCATTGTCGGTTTCAGTTGGAGATACTCGACCCAACGCACGGCCCAATTCCCACACCGGGAACTGGGCCGTGCGTTGGGTCGAGTAAGGTGAATCGCAAAAATGATTGGGAGTTCCGAGTGCCGTTGCGAACGAAGAACATCCTGGGAAGTAGAAAAGGAAGGTCTTGCTTGGCGGAAGATGCTCGCCGGGTAATAATTCGGCCGGTCCGAAACTAAGCATTGTACTCCATACTTACAGTAGTTGCGCCTACAGACTTGCAAACTTGAGATCTAGATCAAAATACTTGTGACCCATATAGACCGTAGTCAGAAGACCGAGGGCCCTTATGGTTACTAAGCCAGGGTGCCGCCAGTTGTAAGCCTCATACTTAAAAAAAAATTTTACCGCTTATTCATTGCAATAGGTTTTCAGAGCACAAGTTCAAACGAACCTTCAAGTTTCAGCCCCAATTGACTGGAAACAAACGAACGGGAATACCAACTTTAAAGCCTGTCTGACTGAAAATCACAGATTTCTCCTTCTGTTGAGGCTGATAATAACGACGAATTTAAAGCCCCCACATGCACAAATGAACCCAATATATCCATCTGATTATAGGGGCAGTATCACTCTCTGGACCAGTAATGCGTGGTTATCGCTGTTGGCCGAGTTTCTTCGTGCCACTTACCTTACAGCCTTCCGCCCTTTCAGCCTATACAGCAAGATACTTGTCAGTCCTTCATAGGCGTATGCAAGAGCGTATCATGGCATGTATCACCTCGAATTATATCAACCTGTTCACAAGTATCTCGATAGATATGATCCCATAGTTGTTGGTATTGCTCGACGATACAAAGCCGGCCATCCGTGTTCTGTTGTTCGACGTTTTTAGGCTTGTTGGCTTGGCTCATGATGTAGGGTACGAAGGGGTATGAGAAGAGAGGGGTATGAGAAGAAAGGAGTGAGAAGAGATGGTCAGGAGAAAGATTCGAGGGCATTATTCGTGGACCAAGGATAAAGTATGAGGAGTCGGTTGTGAAGGGCTGATGCGGAACTCGACTTAGTTGGACAAGGCCAGTTGCAATTGACTACAAACTTAGACGAGTTATGATACTCGGGGTGCTTCCAGCGTTCCTTCATCACGTGACCCATCTTCTCGTTCCTTGTCGTTAGTCTGCGGGGCCGCGAGTCTTCGGCTGAGAAGGCATGGCCTATAATGTCTATTAAACACCCTACATATTTGTGATGTGCCATTTTGTTCAAAACGAGAAATTGAATTCTCACCGGCTGCCATTCAGTTCTTTCACCACATATGTTCATATCGTCAACATTGACATGCGCACGAAACGCGAACTGTCTATTACACTTGAGTCAATAACAAAATACATTATTCGTGTCCAATGGTCAACATGTCTAACATACACCAACCGCCTGAACAGCATAGCGTTTGGCAAGATCCGTGCCGGTGGATCAGTGGGTCAGTAGTCTGAGTGGACCGAGTAGCGACCACCTTTTCAGCTGTCGGCTGGCCTAACAGCACTCCCGCATAGCAGCATGTATTTAGAGCGGGCTACATCGGGCAAATGAATTCATCATCATCATTAACTATGTCTTTGGGACAGGAGCTAAATAATGCGTATTGTGTGATATCCGTCTGTTCGAGCTTCAAATCCGTAGGGGAGCAGGACTTCGGGACAAGTGCTTTACCAATTCAAATGGCAACGAAAATAGATCGATCTGACCGCAATTAAATGATAAAATCGTAAGGAGATGAAATTAATAATTCACCATTAACGCGAGGGTTCAACGTAATTTCCAACGTGAGGAAAATTGGCGGGCGGTGAAATTGTGACCAAACGTTCATAAACCAGGCGATTTAAAGAGGGCGTGCAAAAGTGGTGTACAGCGTGGTTGAAGTACTCCGTACAGCAGGACTGAAAAGATTGGCTAACTGAGAGCCCCATCCCCACCTAAAGCGCAGGTCCGTGCATTTCATAATACTCTCGTACCCCCCAGGTCTCTGACAAAGAAATTACTGGTGACGCACGCTTTCGCCCGCGGTATGCCCTGAAACGACAGGAAAAGACATGGGGATTCACTCTTATTGACCCACTCAAATTTTACAGGAAGGACACGTTATCTGGATTATGCGAGGAAGTGGCCGACAAGACAGGTTTTAGTTAAAATTAGTTAATGTTTTGCTCGGTCATTCCCCGTCTTTCGGGAGCTGGGGAATCATTTGAGGTGGAGATTCGTTTCGTTAGCAGCGCCTGGCCAGGTTATTTGCGACAGAGCGGCATCATCACAGCCTCTATCTCCCTTGCCCAGCACCGCCTTCGAATCTCGTAAACTATCCTCGCCCTTCTCAGGCACAATTGAGCTCACACGACTAAAAACAGGCATCAAGCGAAAGCAATTTTTACTTCGCACGTAAAACTCCTCCCCAGCACACTCAACCCACACCTCGACATGCAAATAATACATTCTCTCAATATTAAAGCTTGTAAACGCGGGCGCTATACGTTCGTCGGCCGGTATCACCACCTTTATCCATGTTGTATATCCATTCCCATTCGATAAGAGGACTCCCCAGTTTCGGTTCTCAATATCAAAAACCACGTTCTCATTTTTCACTGTGTGATCTCCCCGACTTTTGGAAGACGGAGCAAAAAGCGATGTAAACCCCACCAAATGCACCCTATATCTTCTCGCCCAAAACTCTGGGATGCTCGGTGCCGTCGACGTCCTAGGCGCGGGTAGTATATTCACAAGACACTCTCTCGAGCCACCCAGATATCCATAAGTAGGGGTATCCAGGAAGATCTGGAAGTCAAAATGCGGCACCACCTGTAACCCCGTTTGGTCCTTCTTTTCTGAACTGATATGACGGCTGTGCTTAGGTAGAAGCATCAAGCTCCTCACCACGCAATCCCTCCGCACCGCGATAGACGGCCTCATCTTCTGTATTATCTTGAGATCTAGCCCGCTGTACCTTGGCTCAAATGTAATTGAGACTTTTTCCTCGCATATTCGTGTAGATTTCCCGATCGAACTGTCATACTGGATCCAGATCGAGGCGGTCACGGCATACTCCACTGTTCCTTCGGAGACTACTCCGCCCATCACCTCAGTAAAGGAAGGCGGGAGAGTGTGTTGTTTCGCGCCTGGTTGCATGTTTTGCATCTGGACAGTTGGCGGATGACTGTCCGCGTCCGTATCCGCAGTCGCAAGGATATTCGGAAACGGAAATGAAAAAGGGCAAATATGTTCCCTATGCGAAAGATATAGATTGATAGCCGTGAAACGGAGAAATGTGGCGTGACCACTATGTGATTCGACTTTCGTTTCTGTGTTTCCAATGAGCTGGACGAGGAGGCGGATCGGGTAGGATAGGAACCGGGCATTTCTTTTTGGGTTGTATCTTACGTCCCCGGTTACTGAGTCTCCTGGTTTGTATTTTGTAGGGGGATTGAGGGTGAGGGTGAGCATGGTGATAGTTTTGATTCTGTTCTTGTTGTGTGTTTCGGGGGAGATAGAGGAACTAAAATGGTACGATAAATACATCACAGAGACCAAGAAGCAAATACGTGACAGTATGCGGCACGAGAGCGACCAACAAATACGACCAATGAGAGCGAGGCTTGGCGCGAGAATTGGGTAAGTCTGTTCCGCAGCGCTAACCCCGCCTCGCGTAGGCCTATGGTATGTAACACTTTTCATTCGCTCCATTCCTTCGTTTCAGGGCACTATCAAGGAAGCGGAAAAGCACACGTGACCGATACGTATCACGTATTGCCAAGTACTCGCGCCAATGAGAGCGAGGCTTGGCGCGAAATTTGGCTGTGTTTTCTCGTAGCGTCAACTCAGCCCTCAAGTCAGTCTCGCGCAGACCCACGGTTTGTACAGCAATATTCGAAATCAGATTCCCCTATAGACACTCGCGAATTGTTCTCGGTTCGTATCCGAAACCACTCTAGTCCGTATTTGGCAAAGCCGTAAATCACTATTTTCTAAGAATTCATACCTTTATTCCCAGGACGACTGTGAGACGTATAATACTATATCTTAGACGAAACTCCTATACATCCGCGACCTCTGTGCCCCTCCATGCCCATCGACCTCCCGTGCCCTGGCATCCATCTCTCTGCAGCAACACCATCTCGGGAATTGCTAGAATCATCTGCACAGTATGGCACCGAGACTACCCCCCTCAAAACTAAATTCCACACTTTATATGTGACATGATACAAAGCTCGAAAAGGCTGACGTAATCTGAAGGCAGCGAATGTAAGATTAAAAACATGCGCAGGCAGCTGTGACACGATGTGGATACATATCTTGCCAGTGATCTTAGGATGGTGCGACTCGCCTACAGAATTTCAATTTTTTTGGGCGGAAATAAGTAAAAAATAAGGGCGATGTCTCTCATCCGTCCACTCAGGGTGCTCAGCCACATCCTCTACTGATGGAGCCCAATCTTTGAAACCCGTCAAGGTAAAGCCACTATCCAATAGAAGCTTCACGTATGTTTCCACGGTTCGGTGGTACTTCCTGACACCATCCACCCCAAGCCAACTAGTCACCCGCCAGCCTTCGTCACTGTAACAATTCAATGGCCATACCTTCCGTTCCTTACCACATTCTTCGAAAACTTTCCAGTTTGGTCCCGGGTGAATAGGCGCAGAACATATAGGGTGTTCGACCGAGAATACCAATTTTCCATCTTTTTCAAGGGAGGTATGGATCTCTCGATAGAGCCTTGCCAAATCCTCAACATAATGGAATGTCAGAGAACTATAAACGAGGTTGTAAGATCCCCTTTCTCGTTTGTCGCCGAAGGTAATGGACTCAATGTCTCCTGTTTCGAAGCTGATTTCCTCAACATAAGGCGAGTCGGGATCAGAGCGATTGGTTTTCGTATCGGTTTCAAATTGCTTTGCTCGACTGATCATTTTGTGGGAAATATCCACTGCTTTGACGTAGGCAGCGCCGTTGTCCCGGGCCCATCGCGCGAACCAACCATACCCGCAACCTAGATCAAGGATTCGATGTCCTTCAAGGTTGTTCCGAGCCGGGTTGGTCAAAGGCGATTTGTCGGTAAGTATCATATGTCGAAGCTCATGCCATTCCGGCGCCGCTGATAGACCGTATTGTGAACGAGGAAGGGTGCCGTAAGCAGAAAAAAAGGCGGAGTCATCATAGATATTTTGAGCTTGTGAAGCCATTGTAGAAGAATGTAAGTTCCAATATTTGTGATCTGGGCAGAGTCGGAGGGGAGATATTAGATATAAGATTTTTATTTTCATGTGGGATACACGACTAATGCCGACTCGGAATTTCCGTATTGGGTTTCCGACAAATGATGAGATCGCCATTCCTCCTCTTTCGGTGACCGCATCTAGAACATTCTACCAGGCTCTGTGGAGACTTACTGTATTTTACAATGACTCACCTGCTTCTAACCGAGCCACCAACACCAACACCATCACAACACACGATTTGACATTCCGCGTGAAACTATGAGTTTTGGATTCGGCGTTGGCGATTTTATTGCCGTTATTGGGCTTGCGCGTCGAATCCGTAAGAACTTCGTAGGAGCGCCTAGTCAGTTCCACGAAATATCCGCCGAGTGCGTGTCTTTCCTGTCCTATGAATATTACTAACTATCAAACTCTCAGAGTTCGAAGTCTCGATATTGTTCTCCAAGATGTCGAAGTCGGGGTCTCGGATCAAGAGCTTGAAGAGAACCACAGAAGAAACCTAGGAAAAACCCTGAAAAGCTGTGAACACGTTCTACTTGATGCGGAGAAATTGATCATGAAATACAAGTTGCTAGAAGTTAAACAACCCCATGTATGCCACAAGGCAATACGGACGTTGAGAAAATTCACATGGGATCCTGCTGAAATATCCAACCTTCGAGACCGCATCGTATCGAATGTTACGCTCCTTGATACTTTCCTCACATTTTTATCAGGGTATTATGGGCTCTCAACCTCAAGCAACCTCGAGCTACCGGGATTACTAACAATTGCTATAGCCAAAGCATCTTGAAAATTGAGAAGGGGGTAGATCGGCTAAACGAGAAATTGGATAATGGAGAGCGGCTTGAAATTCTCAAATGGCTTACTACTATGGATCATATGTCCAGACATGCGAAATTAATCAGCGAATGGCAAGAAGGAACTGGACAGTGGCTTATTGACTCAACCGTCTACCAAGATTGGGTGAACACCGCGACCAAAACATTGTTTTGCTCGGGAAGCCCGGGCGTTGGGAAGTCGATTTGCGCCTCAATTGTGATTGACAACTTAATATCAACTCTCGGAAGGCAATCAGAGATTGGAATTGCGTACATTTATTGCGACTACAAAAGACACAGCAAAGAAGAGCTGGCAAACATACTTCTTAGTCTTCTGAAACAGTTGAGCCAAACGCGATCTTATCTTCCAAGAAGCGTGAGTGAAATGCACGATCGCAATGTTGAAAATCACAAGCGCCCATCTTCAGAAGAGATTTCAGAAACAATCTGCTCAGTTGCAAAACTATATCGTCGCGTTTTTGTTGTCATTGATGCTCTTGACGAATTCCGGGCCTTTGATAACTGTCAATCAAGACTGATGGAGGAGGTTTTTCACATCCAATCCCGGGTTGGGCTAAACCTCTTTGTCACTTCGAGAGTCACGAAAACCACAGAAACGACCGCGGCTTTCCACGATAATCGCCTCGAGATTCGTGCCAGCGAAGCTGATATAAGGCGATATCTCCAAGCCAATATGTTCCGACTTCCTGGGTTCGTCAATCGAAACAGCGCACTTCAGGAGGAGATAATCAGACAGATTGTGAGAATTGCAGACGGCATGTGAGACCTTATTCCAATCCGTCGTTTTATCCTCGTTCTTACTTTCTTCCTAGATTCCTTATTGCGCGTCTTCATCTTGAGTCTTTGGAGGCAACCAAAAGCATCAAGCACCTTCGACGTGCTCTCTCGAATCTCTGCCTAGGGACGGCAGAAAATTGTTATGCCAGTGTGTATGAATCTGCAATGGAGCGCATTCAAGATCAACTAAAACCACGGCAGGAATTAGGCATGGAGGCCTTAATGTGGATCGCGTGTGCTAGACAACGGCTCCGGGTGTACGAACTTTGTTGTGCACTTTGTGTTGAAGAAGGCGATTCCGATATTGATGAAGAAAGTCTCTCGGAAATCGAAGACATCATCTCAGCGTGCGTGGGTTTGATTACGATTGAAGGCGGATATGTTCGTCTCGTTCACCAAACAACGCAAAAATACTTTGATCAGACTAAAGAGAAGTGGTTCCCCAATGCGGAGGCCAGAATTGCGACGCTATGCATTACGTATCTTTCATTCAAGATATTCGAATGCACGAACTGCAACTCTGAGGTCGGCAAATGTGAACGCGATCCCGATTGTGAACTTGAGCTTTGCATGAAAACAAGCGAAAACAGTTTCTGCTATTATGCGGCAGATAACTGGGGCCACCACGCCCGCGCAGCGCTGGAAATTCCTAGGAACGTAACGGAATTTTTGCTCGATGAAACGAAGATGACAGCATCAGCCCAGATGATATGGGAAAAGCGACATGATTTTGAGTTGGATATCGGAGCTTATGGTGAAGAAGTCCCTAGTCAAGTGGCGGGACTTCACCTGGCAGCTTATTTTGGGCTTACGGAGTTTGTCTTGACGGTTCTGGAACAAAATCATGTTGTTGATATGCGTGATACTATGGGCAACTCCCCACTCATGTGGGCTACGATTGGAAATCAAACGGCGGCCATGGCTCTTCTTCTTGAGCGGAGCGCAAATGCCAATATCAAGGACATATTTGGCGATACACCACTCATTAATGCCTCAAGGGAGAGTGCTTTGACAGCTGTGCAGCTACTTATCGAAAAAGGCGTTGACGTTAATGTTGGAAATAAATATGATCAGACTGCACTCCATGCCGCGGCGCACAAGGGTCATGAGACAATTGTCCAGCAACTTCTCACCTATGGAGCTAGCATTAATTCCCGGGCTAAATTGACTGGCACAGCTCTCAACTCGGCATTAGTATCTCATCACTTGGGCGTTGCCCGGCTGCTTATTGAAAGCGGTATTGATGTCGACTTTCCGTCGGAGAACTTTGGTTCCCCTCTTCGGCAAGCAGCAAAATCGGGCTTTCAGGACATTGTTCGATTACTCCTGCAAAATAATGCTAATGTCCACGCTATTGATGAGCGCAGGGGGACAGCTCTCCAGGCGGCTGCAAGACAGGGAAACCAAGAGATTATTCAGATACTGTTGGATTATGATGCCGATGTCAATGCCCATCCGGCCAAGCTGGGAACAGCTCTTCAGATAGCCGCATCAAAAGGCCACCTGGAAACTGTCAAGATTCTTCTTGAAAGGGATGCCAATGTCAATCTAGTCGCCGGCGAATTTTCCACAGCTCTCCGAGCAGCATCGAGTATGGGCCCCAGAAAGAGCATACAGCTATCCCACGACAAACATGGTGTAATCAACATTCATGCATTCTTGAAAAACTGGCCCGGAGGGCTCGATGGAAAGCTTCCGGAGATCTCAAGAAATGATCATCTGGAGATAATAAAATGCCTTGTCAATAAGGGTGCTGACATTAACGCCTATGGGGAAGGAGATGGATATGCAACTGCACTCCAGGAAGCATCAATTCTTGGTCACCTAGACGTTGTTCAAACTTTGCTCGACAATCATGCGAACCCCAACGTCTATGGTGGGATTATCGGAAAGCAGATTGGGACAGCTCTCCAAGCAGCGTGTGCAGCAGGGCATCACGAGATTGTTCTGTTGCTTCTCAGGTTTAATGCAGATGCTTATATCCAGGCCGGTCGTCATGGGACAGCCATTCACATAGCTTCCACAAAAGGCCGCGACGATATTGTCCAAGCCTTGCTTGGCAGCTCTCGAAACTAGCACGCAGGAATCCTGAAAGTTGGGTGAGCTTGTGGAACTCGGAAATTCGTCAATTTTTAGTTTTGTCTGATTCTGGAGTTGATGACAAATAGCAATATACGTTCTTTCTATCGATCGATTTTTCTCAAAGCATTTGATGCATAAACCCCATCCCGGTGACACGAAATACCCTGTAGGATGAAACGCCCACCAGATACCTGCACATTCGAGCACCGTTACTCCCAATACATACACTTATATTACCTGAGAGCAGCAGAAATAATAAACATTTGATTATTATTCGATACCTTTTTTCAAGCAAAGATTATAAACTGTTAAAGTGGGAAGTTACAGTCGTTCTCGAAATCGGCTTGACACCTACACACTTACCATCCCATCAAGCAGCACCATTGTACTAGTGTATCTTACTTCAGTTCAGTGACCGTTTGGTACCATACAAGAAATGATATCATCGAGTACAGTCAGTGGACAAAGTTTCTACACCCCTATAGCCCCACCCAGCTCACCGTCACTATAGATTTATACCGCCTACCTAAAACAGGTGGTATGCGCCATACTATATTAGAATTCAATGGGGTTTTTGACCGGCAGTATATTATATTGGGGGTGTGGGGCCAGGGGTGTAAAAACTTATGTCCAGCCACTGTAGTTATTCCGAGCGCTAGCTACATTTGTCTTAGTCGGGCTTGGCATGATACGAAATCAAAGTTCGGAGTTTCTATACTGTTAATTGATGCGGTCGGACTTTGACTAGGACTTGGTTGCTTTTCGGCGGGCTGTTGACAGTGTATTCAGATAGGGATAGCGATCAACGAGTCGGTCGGGGAGACCGATCAAGCCTCACGATGTTGAGGGTCAGATATGATACCCATGAACGCTCATTGCGGATATATATATTTCAATCAAACACCTCTTTCCCTTTCGTTGAAAGTCCAAGAAATCTGACAAATAGAACATTGTAGAACTTATCGTCATCAAAAAAAGAAGTTCAGAAGAGAAAACTAAAAAATAAAAGTTCAATGTATCTATGTTCATGATCACAAGTTCGAAAATTGAGTGTTGACAACTATGGCCAAGCTTCAACGGTTGAACGACCGTGACCTCGCTTTCCGCAGTCGGGACGGACAGATCCACAGCTCAACACAACCAACACAGCACTAAAGCGAGGCTAGGAAAAAGGTTCATGATTTCTGGGGATGAAATTGACGGCGCTTTTCGATGATTTGACGTTGAGGTGATCAGAACACGAAATATGAGCCTGCCATTGCGGACGGAATATCTCCCACAAAGCCTCAATTTAAGAGGGCCGTGAAGGATTCGGCAGTGAGCCAACGTTTCTTGACCGACTCAGCATCCTGTTCTTCGACACGGCTCTTGCTCGTCTCCCTCGCTGAGCAACCAAAGACATCAAAATGTCGCTGCAAATAGTCGCTGTAAAAATATGCCACGGGTTTCAACAGGCCTCAATTAGGATAGGTGTCCTTCAACGCTTGCTACCAAGCAGAGCACGTAACGTAATAGGATGAGACGATATGTCTATAAATACGTCCTCTACCCCCAGCAATTTGCTCTACAATTTATCCACTTAACTACGCAAAGTCGAGCAGGCTTGTGTCTGAGGCATTCGATAGGTTCTCCCCTATGATCGAGTACTGGAATCTCTGATGTACTGACATTTATAGAATACATCGTGGACCAGCAAGCCAGACAGTGCCTGTGAGAGATATGATCCCCACCAGATGCACTGTCATTCACGCCAGCCGATCAAAGAGACAAGACTTAGGCTGGCTGGTCCAATTGTCTATGCGAAGAGGTCTCCACCACAGAAGTAGACTCAGCTGATCTACTGTACAGCCCCTGTGTGCATTCCCAAGAGAAAGCTCGAATATCCACGTTGCAGGTATGTGAATCTTAGCCTGACCTGTCTCACTGATCCTGAAGACGATGCGATTTCAATAGAACCGAGGACATTCGACCACAATGCACGAGCGTAAGAGTCACAGCTCTTTGCCGTCTCTTCGTCCCTAGTCTTGGCTCTCTTCATTTCTAGACTTGGCCACCAGAACATGTGAGTCATGGAGTATCTCGCCGGTCTACAAGCCAATGAATGACAGTGAACCATTGACATCGCACCAGAGTGCCCCCGAGGCTACAGCACCCCCGTTAGTGCTCTGCACAAGCCGTGGCCTACACACCATTCCTGGTCCCGTCGCTTCAGACCAAGGTGGCAGGCACTACGATGCGTGCCCATCGCGTCTTCCGCCCTCGACCTCACCGCCTTCATACCATGAACGGCGGAGTGTATGAACCTCTCTCTGGCCGTCCGCATCGCGAGGTCTTATCCCATTACGACTGTACAATTTCCTGTCACAGGTGGGCTCGTCACGTGCCTTTGGTGTCTCGGAAGTTGCTCGGTGCACTCAGCGCGGCTTCTTCGAAGCGACAGCCGGAGAGTACGATGAACATGAATGCAAAATGGCATAAATGGTGACTGCATTGCCGAAGAGAACTGTAAGGATCTAGTCGGTAAACTAACACGATCACGAGGCTAATGGGTCGTCCCGTCGCAAGCGTACACTCTGCGAAATTTATGAACAGGTAAGTCATAACAACTCGTCCAAGTGGTTCAAGCCTTGTTGACTCGAATCGTACAACAGGAGGGCACTATTATTCCTGTCAGATGCGAAGCGAGCAATTATCTTGTCTGCTCGAGCTCCCCTATGCCAATACGATCGCATGCTGCCTGTCCCTTCCACTATGACTACTCGTGGCGTCGATGATGAGTCACCGTACGGTTCAAATCATCCACCTCGGCCCTTTCTCACAATCGCTTCTGGGCATCAGATCATGGGTTGATCTATCTACCTAATGAAAGACCCAATTCCAATGAGCGTATATCACTGGCTCTCGGTATGGGAACACCGTCAAAGAGATAGCCTTCTTGAGGCTTTGGTTCCTGCCGTCCAATAGGTGATCCTCATTGTTCTCGGTTGGCATTTGGCGTCTTTTCAAGACTGGAAATCCAAAGGACACCGGGAGGAATTGATGTTTCGTCTTGTTAGATGACCAGTGAGCCGTACCTTGGTAGACGGCCAGGTTGTTAGTTAAAGTCTGCGTGCATGGAGAAGGTGAGGCGAAAGTCCCGTCATTTCTAGCCGAATAAGTTAAAATGACGATCTCAGTTTCAAATCGAGTGGACAAGACCGAGGACAGTTTCTGCGCTGGTTAGAAGGTGGATTCCGCCTCATGGGCGACCGTCGTCTATAAAAGAGACTACAAATCCACCCAAATGGCAAAACCGGAATTGAAGCCCTCTTCAAATTCTCCTCTCCCCTGCACCTTGTCCCCTATCCCCTGTCCTCCCTCATCCCCTGTCCTCCCCCATCCCCTGTCCTCCCTCATCCCCTGTTCCGTGTTCTCTGCCAGCTTTCCTGTTTTATGAGTGCCCACAATCACCACATCCCGAAGGCTTTTTCAGCCTCTCTCCCACACAATGTCAAACGCAATGTTTCGCCTGGAATCCCTTCGTACATGGAATCCTTTCCAGGACAAAGCCCAACCTCGAGATTCTCTCGATATTTGCTGCTACCCAAGTCCTGTTTCGATGACCGCTACCCCGCCTCTCTCCAATCCTATCGACCCCGTCTCAAAGAATCAAAAAAGTCGTTCCTACAAACCTGGCCAGCATCCCCTTCCTGCCCGCCCCCCATTGGAGGTTTGCTTGGATGGCGGTCTATATTCGGACGCTCAAACCACTCGACACGAGCCGGAGGATTTGGGCCGCACCCCCTCCAGTCCTCACGCTGAGACTTTCGACTCTGAAGACATTTTGCAATTGCAAGACATACCAGGCACAGAAGACGTTGATTCTGCCACAATTCCCGATAATGTTTGTCTGGGTGCTAAGCATCGATCCCCCGGTTTCGGATCGTGCGACTTGGAGCCTGCCGTTATTGCTGATCAGCACCACCATCAAGCTGTCGATTCTGGAAAGCCTACCCAGACTAGAGAGCTTCCAAACACTGAAACAATCGATCCCGCAATCCTCGACGATCATGCCTTTCCAGGTGGTGAGCAGACCCAAACAACGGAAAATACCACCGGCATCGCAATATGTCCAGACAGATGTCTCTTGGAGTGTTCCCACTCTCCGAATCAAGATCCACCTCTTCAATCCAGACGACAAAATGCAAAGCGAACGGCGGCTCCTGGTCGCCAGTCCAAAATAAATGAACGTTCGAGTGCTGGGAAGAGATTTTCAAAAAAAGGTGCCGCCCGGTCCAATAAAGGGCCCCATCGTCGCAGCAGCGTTTCATTTCCTACCGTTCGTGCTCAATTCTCGGCCCTCCCCGTCGAAGACCGGCTAGAGTTCTTGCCCTGGTTGTTTGAGGGTGCTTTATCTCATTGTATTTCTACGCCTTTGAGCACAGATGCCACTGTATCAAGATGCATCGCAAACCAAGATTCAGACATCACATACGACTGTGACCAGCCAAGCCCAAATACCGAACTAGCTGATGCTCAACATACCCCTTCCCTTGTATGAGAAAAGGGTTACTATGGTCCGAGGAAGAAGTATCTTTATTGGTGAAGCTCGAGGACGAACAGAATCTTGCTTGGTCGGAGGTGACGAGACAGTTTGCATAGAAATTCGCCGGGAGGAGTAAAGGGTCCATACAGGTGTACTGGAGCACGACGCTCAAGAAACAGCGGCGAGCTTTGGCGGATGCCACGTAGGTAAATAAGCTGAGGACTGTGAATTAATTGCCTTTGGACTACTACTATCAATATTGTACGGTTGATTATACTGTTACGACACCTGCAACAGCCAAGGAGCTGTTCAGACGTAGAGGAGCCAACCAAGTTCCCAGAAGCTACGCACCCAAAGCTGGGGGGATTTACTTAAGAACTGCCTAGCCAGGCAGAAACAAATATCAGGCCGTCATATCCTAATGTCGAAAAGCTAACGTAAGGGCAGGACCTGGGTTTAGACTAGACACTAGAGACAGTGACCAGCTGGCTTTTTGATTGCCTATCCCTGGTTTCTATCTAGCATCAGATGGCCACATCTTGTCCGCCTTTGCTACTGTCATGTCTTCGCCACGGGACTCGGCTTCTTTGGCAGTCTATATCCATTCATTATACGCTGTGCTCATTATACGCTGTGCGATGAGCAACCCTCGCAGCGTCCCATGCATCATTCGAGATCCACCCGTCAGAATTTGTATCAAGGTTGTCTCTTAGCCATGACTTGAGTGCTTGAACAGCCTCAAAATCCTCATAGTCTCGAGCATGCTGTTTCAATTCCGCTTCTGTGCGAGAGTATGGACATGAGCCCTCTAGCCCCAGTTCCACCCAGCGAGCTGAAAGCTCAATTAACTCTTGGCGGACAGCGACAGCGGAGTCTCTCCAAGTTGTGTAACAGTAGTGGAAGAGTCGAAAAAGAGTCGGATCAAGTAATCTTGCAGGACGAAGCTTAGGAACAAGGGCTGTCATGACCACATCATATGTTTGATAACAGACGGATGCATCTTTTAAATCTCGTTCCTTTTGTCCAGAATTTTCCGTTTCATTTTGTTCGTTCTCGAGTAGATCTTCCTCGGGGACCCTTGGTAGTGCAGCGAAATCAGGTGTCTCGTTGGCATAAATAAACGCGGGCTCGATGCTGGTTGATTGCCAATCTATCAGGCCAGTAATAACGGTTGGTTCTTCGGCAGAGACGTAGATATTCCTCTTGTGAAAATCCGGGTGAAGCAGAGCTGGTGTAGCAGCGTCCTCAATGCGTTTATCTTCAATCGACTTTTGTATCACCTCTCGACTTGTTTTCAATAGACGGATGTGATCTTGAATTGATCCTTGATATGGCAGAAGCTTGCGATTATTGACGGCTTCTTTGGGCAAACGAGATAAACCGGTATCTATCAAACCTCGACAATAACTTGTGAGATCTCTCCAAGGTCCGCAATTGGGGCTTGGGCCACGGTAGAGTTCAGGTTCTCCCGGATTTCAGTTCCAGAAAACCGGACTGCAATGTGGTCCCACACAGAAGCCCTGCTCAAACGGAATCTTTGAGTCCAAGTCTAGAGGCGCATCTGCGTAATATAGACTGCCGTAGGCCGGGAAGTCCAGTGAAGCCATCTTTTTCATTGTCAATGAAAGCGCTTTAGTGCACAGCATATGTTGTTCCGGGTTCATTTTGTGCCACTCTTGATGTAATTGAACACCCGCTACATGCTCCTGGATAATATATTCTGTTCCAGTAGGATTGGAAGGATTATCATTCCAGTCGAGAATTTTCGGTATCGGAAGCGAGATCTTGGATTGTACTATACAGACATAAATTAGTGAGCATGCCAGCCATACTCTCAAGGACAGGGGATACGGCTTAGCCTTACAATAAGTCATCGTTGCAACTTCAGAGTTGGTCGTCAACCTTGGCGGGCCAGCAATACCGGTAGGTGCCCTTGCCACAACACAAGGTCCATTGTCCATTGTTAAAAGGAAGACTCTGTTGAATCCACCTTCTCGCTTCTCGTATTGACAACGCTGGTGGCTCCTGGACATGTGTAAACAGCCCGCTCACACAGCGCTGAGAAGTCAAACATGACGTGGCGAGAGTTTCGCTCGAGCTCGTCCCGATTGAGCCATCTTCCACCGGTATACGAATGCGGATCATGTACTAGAATGCAAAATCAGTGACACATTAACTCGCTGGTCAATGACGGTGAGTGTATGCTACTAACGACGAGTCAGTTCTTGCGAATCTGTTCCAGGGGATGTGCTGTCGAGCCAGGTATGTGGCGAAGCTGCGCTGTTCTTGTTTCCCATGTCGGATAATGTTCGAGATGGGCAACGGAATCGACAATGCTGAATGATTGACGAAGGGACTCCCAACCGCCGCCAGACTCGGAGCATATCAGACTGCTGGTCTCCTTTTTCCAGGTTGTCAGCTGCAGGGGAGCTCGAGATTGGACGTCTGAAGCGCCCCCTTGACCCTTAATGGGGCCCCTAACTCAGCCGAGTTTTGTGCTGACAAGTTCCAGATATGGAGTGTAAGTGGGGCGACGATCCACCTTTCTGGTCGTATTAGGCAGCCGATGACCATTTAAACTTGAAATTGCTTATTTACCCCGAATCGCATGCCAGATTGGGTTGAGATGAAAATTCGAGATTCATGTTGAGTATTCGACAAGTACCATGGCTGTTGCTATTGCGCTCTCCATTGTGGGCGCATTGAACATCTACCAAGGAACTCCCAAGTCGGATAGTTATTCGTTGTGGAAAGCTGGGTCAGCTTTGATCGTCGTACTTTGGATTTCCCAAGTGTTTTGGTCACTTTTTCTCTTCGTCCCAACAGGAAAGCACCTCGTGGCCAGACCTACCAAGGCAGCACTGCTGTATGTGTTCCAAGTTTTATATTCCCGGTTTTGAACCCTGGAAGCTGATACTGTCTTCTCTTAGCTACTGCAAGGTGCCTTCATTGCCCTTTTGTTTATCGGTATCCGCGTTATTTACACCCTTGTTGCCGTCTGCACTCAGCAGAAAGATCTCAGCCCAGTGACCGCCTCCATTGCTGTGCGCGTTGTATTCTTGTTTCTCCCAGAAGTCTTTGCGGCACTGGCCATGATCACCGTGGGTCTTCGAGCAAGACATCTTCAAGAACTCAAACTGGCAACGGGGTATTAGGCAATGGCTGAAAGCTCGATATGTATCTGGCTAGCTATCACGTGGTTCACACCAAGTTGAACAAGGATATTTGGAATATTTGTGCTCCCCAACCTTGGAAGTATTGTCGGATAATTGTGAATTCCTTTTTCTTTTATACGTATTTATAATAAACTCAAGAAGCTCGGTGAAAACTTAAATGGCGTTTGGAAGACAATGCATTGGCGATGAATATAAAATGTGGGGAAGAGACAACTTTCAGTACCTTTTCTATTCTTTTTTCTTTTGCGGGGATTCTTAACGAGACACGACAATTGGTAGTTGGTGGCTCATTTAACTTCCATAAGTAAAGGGATCAACCCGAAGGAGAACCGTGTGATTGCTGGGATTTTCCTCCGGGCCCATTGTCCAGTTAGTCTGTGTAAATCCTCGTAGATGGTGGTACCCCCCACCGGTACTTCGCGGCCACCAAGTTTTATAACTGACCTTCGCTGGTGTCTTTTCAATCCAGCTCAAACCGACTGTAATGGCCCGGGCTGCCTCTCGCAAATCATCAAGGTTATACAAGGAAGTATAGGGTTCCATGGTGCCTGTTCTCCACTTGTCATATTCGGCGCCAACTGACCAGCTCCTACCCTTGAGCTCGGAGTTGCAGTAGATACGCCATTTGTGTTTGACATTCCGAGCGCCCGTGACTTCGAATAGTTGTTCGTGGAACTGGGGACAGATGTCGTGGATCTTCGTGCCAATGATTTTATTGTTGAGTTCCTGTGGCACGTGCCATTGTTCCGTCGGTGTTGCCTTGAGCTGATCCCTCAGGTTATCGATTGTTTTCTTATCTTCATCAGACTGGATTTTGGACTTGGTCCGACAATCCGAGAGATCACTCTCGGCTTTGGCTATCTTGGAATGACAAGTCTCGTTGGCTCTTGCTGTCTCGTCGAGTTTCGCCCCAATGCTTTGCAGCTTCTCACTCGCAGCTTCTAGCTCCGTTGTACAGAGAGCAAGGGCACCTTTGCATTTTGAATCTGGTGATAGAACTGGCGGTGTTGATGGACTGACGATCTTATTCATTTTTTCGAGCAAAAGGAAGGTCGGCGAGCTGGCAAGAGTATATTTGTCACCACGGACAAGATAACACATCCCACTGGCACTATTCTTTTTCCACATGGCTACTGTAGCCTTGGGATCGTCCGCACAGTATTGGGCACATATTTGGGCACTTCTCGCCTCTTTGGATTCGTATTGACCGCTTGAAAACTTTCCGCAAGTGTATCTGAACTGAAAAGTGCCAACCGACTCTGTGCCGACTAACGGTGGTTTGGCACAACACACATTCCAGCTGGCATCGCCCTGGACATCTGACTCAGCAAGGCATTTGCCCTTTGAATTGAGTGGTATCTGGTTTCCCAGGACGAAATAAACATGGAGCGCAAAGAACACGAGCCATTGCGTGATCATGGCGTAGATAATTGTGTTCAGATGAGGTGGGTTGAAGATTTATGGAACAGCCTCACAGTTTCAGGGTATTGCTTGGTTGCTGATAGTAGGGGAAACTAAAGCTCAGGCGGTAGGGTGCTCTGTTCTTAAACACCTTTACAAGGCCGTCGCTTAGCGGACACTTCGGTGACCAGGAGCACCCCCATCAACCTAACCTTGCCTTCGGATTTCTTCACCTCTTCAAGTCATAGCGTCATAGATTTATTGAGTGGAACCCTTGTAATCTGAATTTATCTTATGCCATTTTCAATATGCATTCGTTGATCGGCTAGCCGGCCGGCATTTGTTGCTCGGCTGAGCCGTCCCGGACGGTTGCGGACCGTGCTAGGTGGGTCCACGGACCCGCCTCTGCCGCTTTTCGCCGGACTGGGTATAGGGTACGTGATAACCTTCACGCAGCGTCAAATTTGGGAACCAATTCCTCTCAAGTCGTTTCGGTTAGCTGGTTATATGCAGGATCATGTTCGAGCTGAGCCATATCGACCCCTTGTACTCTTCCAAGGCCTGCCAGCTGGAGAACATGAATGCAACGTTATGTTTTCGCAGAATTTGTCCACATTGGACATACTTTTTTTCATAAAGTTTATCAATAGGTTAATAGGCTTTGACAAGACATACGAGAACGGGAATAAGCCTCGTCTATGATATCACAACGAAAGCCATACCTGTTCCAATATGGGCAAAGCTTGATTGATGACGCGTAGAATGTACTTGTGGATGAGACCCCTACATAACTCAGATGTAGAGAAGGGATACCAGGCCAGCTAAAGACATAAGAAGGCTTCTTTATCTCTGACTTGGAGTCCATTGAGGTCAGATCCAATCATCCAAGCCTTTGGGGCACCAATAACTATGGCCAAACCACTTCCATTACTCTTGCTGCTTTTTCTCTATTTGCAAACATGCACAGCAACTGTTCAACAGTTTTTGGCTGGAGCACCAGGCCGATCCCGCACACGATATACGCTTGATGATATTGTCCCCTTGAAACACGAAGATTCTGGGGCTGTCAAGTGTTGCCCTTTCGGGACCGACTTCGACGGCAAAACCTGTTTACTGGCCGTCCCAGTCTGCCCAGATGGAACCATTCATAAGGACGGCCGGTGCGTATCCACGAGGGGACCCGAATGCCCTGCTAGAACGACGCCGGAGGGGGACCTCTGTATATCGAGGAACGAACCATTCTGCCCCACCCCAATGAAAGTGAAAGGAAACAACTGCATTTCTGAGCAGGGTCCGACCTGTGAGGGTACGCTCGAACCCAGTGAAAATGTTTGTATCTCAAAAGTGCGTCCATCTTGCCCCGGAAATGAACATTTCGATGGCAAAGTATGTATCAGCGACCAGGGATCTCGATGTCCTGAGGGCACAGAGGCTTGCGATGGACTTTGCATCAGTAAAAAACCGGCCTCCTGCCCTGGGGATCTGGAGTACAACCAGAGCGCCAATCGTTGTACTTCCAAGGAACCACCGCAATGCCCGGAGATGAGTCACCGCGAAGGCGATAACTGTGTGTCTGATAAAGGACCAAAATGCGCCGGCGAGGGTGAATTTGATCCCAAAACCCAGTTGTGTGTGTCTCTCACACCGCCATCGTGTCCGGAAGGGTCCCTCTTGGAAGGCAAAGAGTGTGTTTCGATTGAACGCCCTGCATGTTCCACAGGGCAAATTTCAACCAACCTCTCAGACGGGTCTGCTCGCTGTTGTCCAGTTGGTCTTTCCTGGGATGGTCAAATGTGTACCATAGCACCTGGCGTCGACGGAAAATGCCCAGAGGGCACAATTGAGCAGGACGGCAAGTGCAGGGTCAAAGCCATCAGTGAACCTTTCTGTGAACCCGAATATCGTCTACAAGGTAGTCGATGTGTCTCCGTACAGGGACCCTTTTGTGAGCCTCCATTGATACGAGATGGGTCTCTCTGTGTATCAGAGGAAGTACCAAGTTGTCCCTCTGACACCCATCTGGTTCGGGATAAATGTGTGGGGGAGACCAAGCCTACCTGTCCAGAAGATACCCTCCGCGACCGGGAGCTCTGCGTTAGCAACAACAAGCCTAGCTGTGACGAGGCGAACGGATTCAAGCTTGTTGGCAACCGGTGTGTTAGTGATATTCTTCCAACATGTGTGGAAGGACACCCCAAGGGTGAAGACTGTGTTACTGCAAGCAGACCAGTGTGTTCAGGGAAGACCATGACATTTGACGGTACCAGATGCGTCTCTGAGAGCAGACCTGAGTGCCCAACAGGCAGCACACTTGACGGCGATGGATCGTGTATCACGAAGAAGACTCCAGCATGCAAGGTTGGCCAACTAGTGCAGGGAAAGTGTGTAACAGGTAATCCTGTCTGCTCCAGTGGCACAGTTCTTCAAGGTACCAACTGTGTCAGCCAGGACGATCCACGCTGCGATGAAGGCTTCCGCTTTATCATGGGGAAGTGTGTATTTCTAGCCGGACAAGAATGCGCGGATGGATACACCCTCGTCAACGGCGAGTGCGCGTCGAAGGACCACCCTACCTGCGAGCAAGGCGCTATGTTCAACGGCACAACATGCGTTGGTGGAAAGGCCCCATGTCCGGACGGGACCTCCTTCGACGGCACCGATTGCTCTTATGAGACTATTCCCACTTGTCAACACGGAGTTCTCAAGAACATGAAATGCGTTGTCGAAAAAGAACCCGAATGTTCATACGGATATGCCAAGGATCCTGTTTCCAGAGAATGTATCCACACCGAGGGCCCTCAGTGTCCTCGCGGGCAGAAGTTCACTGGTGAACATTGTGCTCTGGCAGACGATGACTGTATAGAATTCGAGTATTGCCCTAATATTCCCGGCTCGGTTGATACTTCCCATGTGGCGGCGGCATTCGGTCAAAAGTCGTTCCCAGGAGCTTTCTAAGGGTTCGAACACGGATTACATATCGACTTCAGAATTTATTGACGTGAGAAGGTGTCTTCCAAGGTTGAAGTTGACAGGACTTGGTTGGAACTTGAAATAAAATGCGAAAGACGGGGGTTAAGAGTGTAACCAGGAGGCTCTTCTCGTTGACGTGCCTTGTCAACATGTGATCAACTTTCGATTACGAAGTCTCGTGACTCACCCCGTGACGCAATCCTGCAATTAATGCACTTCTACCGTATTAACGATATTTTCCACGACAATCAGTAGAATAAACGAGAATAGACACATAACGTATTCCACAAGCGAGTGGGCCACACAAGCGAGTGGGCCACCCAACCCAACCTACTAATTTCAAATGCATATATCTCAACCAAAACTCCATTAAATTAAATACACTAAAATCAGTATCTATCTGGACATGCATCTCTTCTATGACCCTGGTTTTTACATAGCCCGCACGTTGGTAATGCTCTCGTTCGTGGTTGTAAAGGTGGCGAAGGCCTTCTTCGCCGGGGGCGGGGGTGCTTCAACTACTTCCACCGGCTCAGTAATTAATGCAGATGCTTCTTGAACTGAGAGGCCTTCTTCGGCAGGTATCTGCCTTCGGGATCGAGTGCGCTTTTGCTTCTGCTTCTCGTTGGCGGCGCGTAATTCCTTATTTTCTTTAGCAAGTAAGATAGCACCTTGCATTGTAAGACGGAAGCCTTTCACAAGCTGGTTTAATGCACGGTCTGACGGGCTGGGTGGACTTCGAGATCTTGCACGAAGTAAAGCTTTGATTGATGAAGCCTGCCGGCGTAGTTCTTTCTCTGTAGCTGGCGTTTTTGGTGTAAAATTTCGACTTGATTCACTACCCCGGCTGGGAGGGGGGTAGGTGTTCGAAGCCGAATATCAAGCTTTAAAATCACTCTCTCCGGTTAAAAAGGGGACTAAACCGGCTGCTCCGAAGCTATTTTTTATAGTCTCCGATTTAAAGGCTTCAATTCGTGCGGTAGGGTATGCTTCGAGGAAATCAAGTTTGTCAACATGATTTATCCCAACCCGCATTATTGATTCAACCAGCTGACTATACGCACGTTTTAACACCGCAAAACAGCCTATATCAACAGGTTGTAAAAGGTGGGAAGAATGCGGCGGCATACAAAGTGGTATTATACCATTTTGCTCACAAATCTCATCGAATTTCGGCGTTAAATGACTTCCGTGACCATCAAGTATCAAGAGCCGATATCTTCCTTTCGTACGCGGTAAAGTCGTAGGAATAAAAAGCTTTTTAAGCCAGCGAAGTCCAATTTCATCAGAGATCCACCCATTAGGACTAACCCCAATTCGCCAATCGGAAGGGAGGCCTTTAAACCAGGATTCAAGGAAGACCTTTCCTTTAAAAATCACACACGGAGGAAGCACCCAGCCAGAAGCATTCGTACATTCAATCACCGTCACCCACTCTCGATTTCCAGGTTGTTTAAGTGCTCTCCGCCCGTAGTATTCACTCCTCGTAATAACCCTCGTAGTTGCCGTTAATCCCAAAGCAAAACCAGTCTCGTCAAAGTTATAAACGTCATCGGGGTCGATTCCAAATCGAAGGATCGTTTTTTGAACCAAATCAAACCACTCCCTAATGATTTTCGGGTCTTCACATTTCGCGCGCTCGTAGTTATACCGTTTCGAGAATCGGGAGGAGAGGAGAGGGTGCCTTTTAACAAAATTCGTAACCCAATTTTCGCCGACCGAAATAACCGGGGTAGTTCCGCGCTTTTGAAGAAGAAGATCTGCCATTTCTCGTACGGTAGAAGGGCGGGGGGCTGATCCACGGGAGTCCATAGAGAGAATCCATTTTTGAAGCGATTCCTCTTCGATTTCTGTTAATTTCTGTAGATGGGGGCGAGAAATCGCGCGGTTAGGGGTGCCCTTTAGTCGGCGGAGAGTCGACTTTGGTATTTCGAAACGGCGCGCCACTTCACGAATTGAAGAGATTTCTTGATTCTTAAAAGCTTGGATAGCTAATAAGATCCTACCCTCTTGCTCTATTGAATTTGTAGAGCTTCGGGGGCGAATTGGTGGCATGGTGGGTGGTTGAATTGACTAAGTGCTAATTCCTAGACGGGTTTTGGGTGGGGTGGACCACTCGTTTGTGTGGACCACTCGTATATGAAATACGGGGAACCTCGAGTGATTTATGTCATTATTCGGTCACGGGACAGGTACCGCACTATTAATCAGGCACCATTCTTCTTGCTCCCGAGTCCTTGAATTACGTTAAATGTTACCCTAAAACAGGCCCCGCCATACACGGCTCCGTCTATACTGGTTTGACACATTACAGTGACGCAGCAAAACGTCATTCTCGGTTCAACCCGAGTGACGTACATATAGCATTAAACTCAGCCTGATTACCGCTAAGAAATAATCTGCAACCTGGGCCTCTCTCTATTCTTTCATTCAACGAAAAGACCACGCTAATCATACATGCCCGATAAAATGGCTACGAAATATATTGTAAGTAACCTTCTCTTCGTCTCCTACGAACCTCACTAATAAAGACAGGTAACCTTTCAAGACTCGGCCACCGCCGAGCAAATCAATACCTACATCCACCTGATCAACGGAGACGGTGGATCTTTAATCAACAAATTCCCGGACATGATCGCTAGAGGCTTTTCGTATGTGTTTTATCTACTACAAACCGTCATCGGGATGTTGTACTAATATGCATTCCAGTGCCTATATCACAGATTCAGTCATTCAAAGAATTCAGTCGGACCCTCTGGTTGATCGTGTTACACCTGATGACTCCTCTTAAACTCGGCGTTGGCTCGCCCCTTTTGGGATATCTGCAGCTTCGCATTCCCTGCATGCTAACAAAATAACGACATATTTCGTGGCTACCCAATTACATTGCCCACTAATTGCTGCATATAATCGTGCCAAGCGCACCAACACACACTCCGGTGGTGCGCCCCACAAGATGCAAAAAATTCCTCATTTTATCAACTTCACATACATTTTTGTACTACACCACAATGTCAGATCAAATCAAGAATACCGAGGAGCGAATTCAAGAAGCACTCAAAGCCTATCATACAACAATTAAGCCCAATATCGCTAAATTAGTGCGTGAATTCGATGTTCCGTACTATCAACTACGCGGTCGGGTTCGCGGTCGCCAGTCTAATTCCGACCGTGCTAAATCAACCAAATCCTTAGATCCAATTCAGGGAAAGGCATTGATTACCTGGGTCGAATCCTTAGATAATTCATATACTTCACCTACCCCGGAACTGATTGAAAAGTCTGCCAATCGCCTTCTGAAAAACGCGGGTTCGGACCAAATTGTTGGTCATAACTGGGCGTACCGCTTCCTCCAAAGACTGCCCCCTCGGCTCAAATATCTCACCCAAAAGTCTAAGGAAAAAGCGAGGATTGATAGCGAGGACTTTGGCTCTTTATTCCTTTGGTATAATAACCTTTCCCGGGTTATGAAACAGCATAATTTCCTCCCACACGAGATCTACAATTGGGATGAAACCGGGTATCGAATCGGCCAAGGAAAGCCACGTAAGGTCGTTTCTTCTCGTACGACTAGTGATATCGCTACAGGTGGTCAATCGGAGTCTATTACAGGCATTGAATGCATTGCCGCAGATGGCTGGGTTATGCTACCCTGGTTTTTACCAAAGGGTAGTCTACATATGGAGGAGTGGTATGAAAATATTACTACGCCTGACTTTCGAAGTAAGCCTACGCCAAGTGGTTATATCGACGATGAAACAGCTCTTCAATGGCTTTTCTCTTTTCACGAAGCTACGATTTCTCGGGTCCAAAAAGGGAGGCCTCGGCTTCTTTTAATGCATAACCATGGCTCTCATACAACCATCGAATTCACCCAGTTTTGCACCCAGAAAAATATCATTCCAGCCTATTTTTTACCCCATACAACACATATCTGTCAACCGCTCGACGGCAAAGCTTTTCAATGCTTAAAGCATTATTTTCGTACGACAAATTACGAGGTTGTTATGTGGGGTGGAAGTGCTAGCAAAAAGCGGGATTTCTTCGGATTATCGAAGGGGTTCGGCAGCAAGCTTTTACCCAAAGAACTATCAGATCCTCTTTTAGATCTAGGGGTATCTACCCTTTAGGTCCGGAGGTTGTTCTTAGTCCCTTACGTGAGAGGGATTTACAAGGGTCCCCCCTTCGGTTTATCACTCCGTCACCCTCCCCAGTTATCCTAAGCTCTGTCACCAACTCCCCGCCAGATACAATTCAGCGGGTTAATAAGCTTAATCCTAAGCTTAATAATGACATTGAGAAGCTAGAGGGCCTATCTCAGGAAGTGAAAAAGCATATTCAACGAAGTATGCAAGCAAATACCCTTTTATCCCAGCAGCTTGATCTGGTGAAGGAGAGTTTGAAGAGCCCTCAATCCCACAAATCAGCTGTAAAGCAGCCAAAAAATGGGAAATCGCTTCTTGGTACTAGGGGCTCGGCCCTATCACCTTTATGCGCAAATAGGATGATAGTCAAAAGGCAGGATGCTGAGGCTAAGAAGTTGATTCGCCTACAAGCAAGGTAGGCCAAGGCTTAGAAGCTCAATCGCAGGCCCAATTAGCCAGGGATTTAGCTAAAGCTGAGCATGAAGCTTCAATGGCAGCAAGAGATAGTAATGGTGGAAATTGGTATATAGATACTACTGGGGGTTATCTGTAAATAGCATTTTTCATAGGTTGATAATTTGATTTTTTGCATATTGTGGGTAATTTGCATCTAGTGGGGCGCACCAACATACATGGAGTGTGTGTTGGGCCCTTGGCACGATTAGAGGAAACTCATTTTCAATACGTCCCGAAACTGGTGCGACCACCTACACTCTTCAATTGTATTTCCTGCTCCAATGCCAATCCGCGCTAGTCTATATTAAGAGTAGTCCCGAAATGGTAGGTGGGGCCTGCCCCACCTACCGCGGCCCCCTCTAAGGGAGTTTATTGGAAGGAACGTAATCTCGGTACTGAGAGAAGTATTGCGAAATGACGTAGGCAGTACCTACCACTCAGCATGGTTTAAATTTGGACTTGCACAAACCCCGCATAGTATTCCCATTTACATCCGCCTCCAACGCGGCACAGTCAGTTCAGTTCGTGTCTGAATTTGCGAAATCTTGCTATTCCAGCATCCCCATTATAAACCATGCACAGACCAGACGACGACTTCATCAATCAGTTCAAGGAGAAATTTGGGGACCTTCTCTTGAGCTGCCATGGCGAAAGAGGAAAGAGAGGCGTTCATTTTGACGCGGGAGATCCGATGTTACCTGCTAGCTATGACAATGACAATGAGGCCATTGATGTTACGTGGACAGACGAGGCAAATTCTGCTCAAACGTTGAGACTAGAGAGCGGTTCCCCAGAACACGACGATTTCCGTGCACCCGATTTATTTTCACCGATGATTAATGCCAAAAAGCACAAGAAATTTCACGATCGCAATCTACCAGGGTCGGGCACGGTCTCTCACAGTAACGCAGGAGACCTCCACTCTCCAATGATTCAGTGGCACACAAATATTTCGCCCACTCTTGATTTATCAATCCAACGCGTTCCGCAGGTTTTTTGGAAGGGGCCCGATTGCTTCACTCCGCTGGCTGAGTCTCAACGTTGGCTATGTGACAATAGATATTTTGGAAAGGCGGACGGTATATCGAGGACTCTCATGCACCACGATTTTGGATACGCCACATCCGATGGAGCCGATCAAGATATTCTGACCGATTGTCTTCATGAACAACCAGGTTCAAACTTTGACATGGCCACATCCGAGGCACAGGTCAACAAGCACTGGCCATATGGCGACGGAGAAAAGTACGCCTAGGCCCAACGAACGCTACATATACTGTTGATTAATCTTGTTCATAGATTTCGCTATAATGTGACACTGCAAGCCCCGACGGCAATGCTCCGGCATGCCAACGAAAGCCTAGTGACATACCTCAATAAAGGTCAAACATACAGCCTCACGGTCGTGGATTCTATCCCACCCTCAAAGAAGGCTGGACTTGTTGAATATCGAACGTTCGTGCATGTATCCTTCGAAGAAGAAGACCAGAGGTCAAATTCGGATGCATCGTGGCAGCTATGGAAAGAAGGCCGAGGCTTGCAAGAAGCCTATGAGCGCAAAGGCAAGATTTCAGCTGTCGAGTATGCCGATCCTTCTAAGGGCGATGTTAGAAATCAGGGACCTCGTCAGATACAGCTTGAAGAAGCTTTTGTTGATGGGTTTTGTGTCACCTGGTCAGTTGATACAACCGCGAACGTCTATGAGGCGGCGATTCCGCTGAAATTTAATTTTTTATCAACCGATTTCACCCGCTTAAAAGGGGTGAAAGGGGTATCGGTTAGGCTATGTGTAAAAACGAAACTGATGCGGCCAGACGGCGAAATTAAGACCATGGAGGACGAGCCAGAAATGTGCTACTGTGTGATGAAGCTCTTTAGAGATCACGGCGCCGAACGAAAATTATCGAATGACAAGACACATGTCAAGAAAAGGATTGAAAAGCTCAACAAACAAATCATCGACCGAGAGACAGGTGCAGATTTCGGTAGACGAAGTCGCAACAACAGTTTGATGAACGGTGGACAAATCGACATTCGGCCTCAGGATAAGCGCAAGTGGTCGAAGAGTTCGTGCAACAGCCCTATGTCGGATACGGACCTTCACGCCGAGCTTGCTACAACGACCGAGATCCTTTCATCGGCCCGTCCGGTGAGTGTACTTAGTCTTCGTGGTAACGTGAAGGATGATCCGGATCTACATCCTATCTGTTTATCAGATGGATCAAGCACTTCTGTGAAAGATGCGTTCTTGGACAATCAACATAGCACACGTGCTATAACCTTGGCCCCCCAAGGAGCGGCTGACTTGTCAGAAAGGGCCAACCTACCACCGCCCAAAGTGCCAAAAGTCTCTATTGGGACTTCTCAAAGCTCTTCGCCTCCTGCAAATTGTTGTTCCAAGTCTGGTTCGTACCACAACAAAGCAAACTTTGATTTTCATTCACTTACTTTATCGCAGTTGCATGCTTTTACCTCCATTTCACTCAAAGCGGGAAGCAGCCCCAGGGCAGCTATTATGCAATATACCTAGCGGATCGCACTTCTCTCAATTTGAAAGTCGAGCTTGCGGAGAAACTGCAGATCGACCCTTGTCTTATCTCTCGTTTAATTTGGGTCAATAGTAAAGGCTTGAAGGTCCTGGTGGATGACGATATGGTTCAACAACTTCCCGAGGCGCTGATCATGATTGCAGATATCTGTGAACTCTCGTACACAGAAATGGCTCCCTCCAGCGCAAAGTGCTCTGGGGTGGAAGTAAAGCTCGTGTTCTAGCTATTGCATATAAGAAACAATACAGGTCGCACTGACAGGATATTCCGGGGGAAATTCTAGTATAGGCTTGCGTGTCTCGGCAGTTAGGTTTCGAGAAACAATGGATGAAAGAGTGTAGGTGGTGACACCAGTTATGGGACCTAGGGCAAAAGAGATGAGATTACCGTAATTTACGGGGACTTATCGAAGATACATGGACGAATTAAAGCCTGGCGGAATGATATCCTAGTATGGACCAGTGTGCTTGAAGTGGGGCCCTGGGTAATAAAGAGAGAGATTGGAGGTAAAACTGATATCGAATATCACTGTACCCATTGCTTGAACTATCAAAATGTGAGCGGGAAGACATTTTAAAATCGGACTTAGGTGTTCCTTACCCAGGGCTCCTATCAGCATATAGCTGCCATCCCATGCTTGGGAGCGACACATACGGACATCATGAGTAGCAAAGAGAGCGCAGTATATACCCACTCCAATAACTGCGGGAATCAAACTTGGCGTATACGCATAGTAGCCAGTGGAAGGCATACTATGAAAAAAAGTCTGTATAGAATACAAAGACTAAGTTTGCTTATAGAGATGTAAGTGAATAGTAATATCATTGAAAATCCAGATCCCCCATGGCATTTATAGCGGAACCCTCGTTCGGGTATGGGAAAGCCGTTCTCGATACATAGTAGGCGACCACCAAATCAATGCAGATCAGATCCCAAGAACGCAACCCACAACAGAGGTTTTATGTCAGCCTAAGGACCCTCGTGAAATCTTATTTCTACAACATACAATGTCTCAATCCTCAGGATAGAGCAATTGTGTGTGACTTCGGGTCGGGTTCGTATTCGGGATCGGGTTCGGAAAGGTTAATCTACCATATTTTCTATTATTACCGCATTGCTCAAGGCAGACACAATTATAATGAAACTAATCTCGCCTCAATTATGACAGCACCTATCTCAAGCTTTGCATGGCTTTTTACTTCTCTTTTCTGCAAGAGGGAAATCTGAGGCACTGCCGAGCGTGCCAGGCAGTCATCCTTCTTTTGCAAAATATTGAAGATCAGGCTGTTGAAACGTAGGATTATCACCTCCTTTTAATTAAAGATATATTGCCAGAGCCTTCTGGTTTGAAGTTGTCTTTAACTGCCTTGAGGAGCACCTGAACTCGAGGAATCTCAACGCATTGATCCTTTGCGCCGCATTGTGTGTCAGCTTTGCCGTGATCATCGCAGAGTAGAACTTTTGGCGGTGAGTCCATTGCCGTGTTTCTTCTTCTTCTATCTGTGAAGTCGCTCCATCGTCGGCAACGGCAGATATCCGAATGAACTCATTGATCTTCTGATTCCACCTAAACCAGTCACTGGCATTATCCAGTATCGGAATCCCATTATAAAACGTATTGATTCCAAATTGCTCGAATTTCGCGATTTCAGTCATGTTGGCAATGGGCGCTCTTCTGAGCTGAAGAATTCTGGGCTGGATATGTCGTTGGGCGGATCGGAGGAAACCGATTCACGATCTGATGAGTGAAGAGAACGCACTTCCAAGCCGAAGAGTTCAAGGCTCGATGCCGCACTGGGGAGGCTCGAAACGATGGAAAGGCTACGGTCTGATGAGTTTGGTGTAGGCGTCCGAGATGGAGGAGTATAGTCCCTGTCTGGAAGCCCGTGGAGATCTCGAGAGAGTCTATACGATCTAAAGAAGCGAGGGAAACGGTGCCGGTCAACTAGATATCGTGGCTTCCTTTGCGGGAAGGTTGAAGGTCTGTTTGGCCGGAGTTTGTAGCGGCTCATATTGCTGTTATTGTATATAAATGGCTCGCCTCCGGCCGCAGGGCTTGGTGGGGCCTGGACCAAAGCCTCAACGCTGTTTCCTGGCTGATAGGAAGCGCCAGAGATGGGGCAAATATGGTGACTTGGCTCTTGTTCGATACTGGAACACGCGGGTTGAGGTTTGGAGGCACTTTGGAAGTCTTTCACAGTGTTGCGAGGAGAGGTGACTGGAATAGTGATCCCCGATGCTCGGCGTATGCGGTCTTTAGTGGACAGGCGCCAGTAGGCTCCTAAGAGTGCACTCGGGGAAAGTGATGGGAAGTATGACGTTTGGATTTGTTTGAAGCGCCAGCGGCGGACGTATCGGAGATACGAGAGAATGTTCAGCTCCTCGTCTGTCCAAGAGTGTCTGTTCTGTTGTTTTTGCATTCCTCTTCGGAAGTTGAGGTGGCCTCCGAATAGTGACCCCGAGGAGGTAATTTCGGGCTTTTCTGCAGATGGTGGGTGTCATGTGCCAGATGTAGATGCAGTTCTGTGATACCCTGTGCCAGTGTGATATCTGTGATAGCAATAATGTGTGATAATGTGATAGTGTGATAGTGTGACAGTGGCGTGGTGTCTGTGAGTCTTTTAACGGAGGAAAGTCCATCCGCTTCATTGCACCCAAAAGCTTTGAGGACTAGAACTCGATATTTTTCATCAAGATACCGCGTAAATATGGTCAGTTTCTTAAGTGGATGAAGTTGGAATTGATAGGGAAGCTTAGCTGTGAAAGGCCGTGAGAGGGTCATGAGGGAGCACATGTCTTACATCGCTGGGCTCGGAGCAGCGACAGCCGTGATCACGGAAGCTCTGAAGTCCTTGGTTTCGCAGCACCCCCCTGCGAGGAAAATTGTTGACGCGGAGCCCATTCCGCGAAGCACACTTGTTCACGCAGAGCCCATCCTGCGAAGCACACTTGTTGACGCGGAGCCCATCCCGAGAAGCACACTTGTTGACGCAGAGCCCATCCTGCGAGGATTATTGTTGACGCAGACCTATCCTGCGAAGCACACTTGTTGACGCGGAGCCCATCCCGCGAAACACATTCTTACAGTCACAGGGCTCATTGGCTGTGAGGGAGCGCAAGTCTTACATCGCTGGGCTCGTTGCAGCGACAGCCGTGGTCACGGAAGCTCTCAGGCCCGTAGGCACGAGAGGGGCACCATGACACATCGGAGTGTGAGGACCGAAGTCCTGATTTTTTTGGGCTGGGAATCCGGCCCCTTTTATATTTTTTTCGGCTACGTCTCTAACAAGGAACCAGTTGCGCAGATGGTAGCGAGAAAAACTATTTCGTTGGTAGGCGTTGAAGCGATCGGAACGACGTTGAACTGATGTTTGGAGACTTTATGGCCTACAGAGTCAAGTCTCGACCTGGACTCATTCCTCTCAAAATCCTACGTTGAGCGTGGTGAACCATTTTCATCACCTGTTGAGAAGAAAGCAACGCCGCAAAAATATGATTCCTACATATCATTGAAATTGCAATTAAATCGCTCAACGCGCTTTCCCTCTACACCAGATCATTCTGGTTATGGGCCAACGTCTCGTTGAAGAGAATTGAAATGTTTGACAACGCTGAAATAGTGTTCTGGGCTTTGTGGCCGACAGTCACGCTCGATTGTACCCGTGGTTGGCCTGTTTCGCCAAGAAGTAACACCCTTGGCCCCACTGGAGGCAAATGTGTCGAATTCCTACGCTTGTTGCGGTGGAATGCTTTGAGGAATTGTTGGGCAAAAAGTGGCACAAAGACCACGTTTCCTTGGATTAGCAAAGCTTTACAATCAAAATCTCAACGCGCTTGAAATATAAATAAGACTTCGCTTTTCTGTGGAAGTTCATCCACTCATGAGACATTTCTGTTTCCTCTCCAAACTTCGTTGAAATCCAAAGAACCATGGACTTGCCGCATCAGCCTGGCAAATATACTACTCAAGTTGTAAAAATGTTGGAAGAACGAAATCTTTTCAATCGGACTGGGAATGAATGCCAAACTGAATCCACTGCCTCAATCCAGATGGAACGTGACGGCATACTAGCTGGCAGAGAAAATCAACATGGCAGCAGGTGCCGCAGCGGGGGTTCAATTAAACATAGTCGAGAATCAGAGACAGTCGATGATCCGTCGTCCGGGCTGCACAGGCGCGCAAGTTCGACTAAGAAGTAAGCAAACACCTCCACTATCATGTGCTGCCTTGACTATCAATTTTCTAACAAACTGATTCCAGATCTGCCGGGCGAATGAAGTAAGTACACCCACCTTGCATGCTTTCTGTCTATCCTGCCTCATTTATCTTTATTCAAATATTTTGCAATCTGATTTTGTATACAAGAGATAGGCTGGCAGATGGAAGCAGGGCGAGAAAGAGCAAGGTCATCAGGCGCTCGATAACGCTGAAAAGTCTTGCTGCTGACTTCGAAGTTCTCAAGAATGAGGTGCAAGATCTCAAGAAGGAGCTCGTCTCTTCCCAATCCCTGCCGAACAAACGGTATCCGAAAAAGCGTGTCACGTTCCAAGACAATGTCAGCTAAATAACCCAAAATTTACGAGAGGGGCTTCAAAGCGCTTTTTCTTCCTATTGTGTTTAAGATCGACAACAATTTGAACGTCGTTTGCCAAAGTATATAATGCGTGATTTCCATTGCTTCAAGAATTTTCCTGCCATCTGCGTTGGTCTGCGGAAAGACAGATATTACTTCGCTAGAACGTACCTACCAGCGATGTAGATCCGGTGTCTCTTGAGGCTCATTCCATCGGGTGCTTGGCTACGAGATGACCCAGTTTTTATCTCCGACGTCGAGCATAGTGGTGTTGTTGTTTTACCTCTTGCCGCGAAAGTATCGCGGCGGGTGGTCGTTATGAGCTCCAATTTCCAAGGATACACAAAACCGCATGGATCGGCCAATCTCCAATGCTGCAGCCTTATCACAGCGAGTATGCAACGAGGTTAGGTTCTTGGAATGACCAGACCCCATTGCTTCTACACCATTGCCTAGTGCCTGCGCTGCTCGAATGCCAATAAAATGCTGGTTTCCTGCGTGCTTTCCTGTGCTTGCCCGCAGCGAACTAATGCTGCCTTCATTATGCTTTTTGCTACGTGGCGGCACAGACACGTCGAAATTCCCAAATCCAGCATGATGATAATCCTTCTTTAGCGGAGAATAGAGAGAAGATCTAGACCTTGTTGCAGATCTCAGAATGGGAAGCGGAGCCTACTTTCCAGGACTGCCATGTGAGTCATTTCAGTACCAAGGTTCATCAGCTGGTTCCTCGTCGATCATCTCCCACCTCGCGATATTGCAACGCTACTATCACACTTTGATGAGAACATGGACACATGAAGCACCGGTTGCACCAATTAAACACCATGCGTGAATTTAGACAGATGCATGTACGGTTCTGCGATGCAGATCCTAGCGACGACCCATGGGACAGTAGATCAAGGAGATTCTATTTGTGGCCCGGAGAAGAAATTGGAAATATTTGCAAAGGTCCAGACACGATCCACAAGCCCAATCCTGACGGCCGTCAGTGTCCGATGGAACAGGTCTTTGTTGCTTAGGAGGTCGGTGGGGGCAGGTATTTGGAATATCACGCAGACCTTGGTGTCAGAATGGCAGGCTAAAACCCCGATCCATGGTTGTGTTCTCCTGGTTGGTGTCACAGGAGAGTATGTTCTCCTGTGGCAAGCTGCTCTCGTCTATCTGGTCTGTAGAACGTTCTAGAAGCTATGTCTTCTGTCCTGCATAAACCTTCCCGTAGAAAATATACTCTTTAAGCCCGACACATCCTCTCCATCTACCCAATTCGACCGCTAGATTGATATCTCTAGCAGATGGCTTGTAGAAAATATGCCAATTACGGACAAGCCACATGAGCTTACGTAAAATGTCTCCGGTTTTTGCACAAGAACAGAGACATCGATTGGCTCCCGAACAAGGGTCGACATTGTGGGCCGGCACTCCTACGGCCCTTAACTTTATTTCAATCACCTTGCGCATCTTGATCATGACGCTGAATGTAGGGTGTCTTCATAATAAAGAATTGTTCTCTTGCAATATTATATCTATGTTCCGACCGAGATGTTGGTGATTCTGCCCTAGTCATCCTTTCTTTGGGGCTACAGGGCTTAATTACAAGCAACCTAAAAAGCAAGTGGAGCAGAAGCTTGTAGATAAGCTTTCCTCGAGGATCATTCATGACAGCCGCATTCTCTCACCGAGCGACCTTTTCCATGGTTCATCGAAATCTTATTTCAGGATTCTGCGATTGATCGACGATCCCAGCCAAGTTCTACGGTCTGTGGGATAACTTTAGTCAAACTATGACCTTGTGGGAAGGCTTAGGATATGACCCATGGACCATTCTGGCAAGTCGAATTGGTCAGTCTGAGTTGTGAACTATTGACTCCGTATTTCAGAATTCCTTGGACTCCCAGCGTTCGAACACATCCATAGCTGCAAGAACGACCAACTTCCAGTTCGTACTTCTAAACAACTATCCTTGAACATAATGACTGTATGTGGAAATGAACATAGTAATCAATTCTCAGATCGAGCCCCACCGGGTATTGAATAATGTAACATCAGACAGACTTTGGTGGCAAATACGCAAAGTTTCCCCACCCAAAATAGCATGACATTCGTGACTCATTGGCCAGAATGTATTCCAAATTAAGCGGCAAGTGTGGGATGTACAGATGGCAGACAATGGGCCTTGCAAAACCCAATCGCAACCTCCGATCTAATGATCCAGCTCTCTTTTAGAGCCTGAACGACTTCTTCTTTGACATTGGCCAGATTTGGAGACGCTCGTTATTCTAGCGTGACTCAGGTGCAATCATGGCTGGAATTCGAAAAATTCCGTACACTGATCACAGACAAAGCTTTCGGAGCCGATTACAGCGCGCGCTATCCCTGTCATCCTCCGAGTCTGAGGATATTCGGAGTCCGTCAAGGTCTGCCGCGGGTGATACCACAGAGGACGAGGTCTTTTTTCAGGAAAATGACTTCTTTGGCAACGACCGCAGCGGTAGCTTGGTGGATGATGGCCAGGCATATCCTTCATAAGAAAGGAGTATCGGCCCGAGTCCTGAGAACGAATTGGAACTACCCCGACAGATTGATCTCTCTGGAGACTTCAATATGATCGCCTTCCAATGTGTCGCAGAGTGAGTACCACAATTCTCTGAAATGATGTTTTGTGATACGTTTGCTTACAACATTTAGTCTAGATATCCGAACGAAGTTAGTCGTGCGACCGACCGGAAAAGAACAAAGGCTGACTTTTTCCAGGTCCATGCAAAAGTCACTGGATAATCAGAACAGCTGGATTGCAACCATTCGCAGTGATATAGAGGACATCCGCAGTCGTTTAGCGGTTGTGGAGAAAGCTATCGAGATGGTGGCCAAAGAGGGGGAGACCGATACTACAGAGGGTAATGCAACTAGGCGAACGCTTCGGTCACAGCAGTGATCTGGGTCAAGATTTGATGAGGTGGAAGTTTATATTCCAAAGCCTGGTGTCAGCCCTTGACGGTTGAGGTACCATCATGCCATTGTGATTTCCGACCAATCCCATCTCACCGGAGCAGACTCTGACTTGAAGCTGTATTGAACCGTAAGGCTGCGCAACAGTAGACAAATCTTCAATATAAATTCGGTGTAACGAGATGAATTCGCTGGCCTCGCCGGCTGATAGTCGCAGACTGATAAATTAAGACAAGCCATTGAGGTTTTCGGGGGTTTAAGCGTTTGGCGATCATTTTAGTCCCTACCTCTCCCTGGCTCTATTACCTGCCAAGTGGCAAGAGACGAAGCGCTAAGAAAACTGTTATTTTTTTATGAATCTCGCACAGTCAAAGACCTTGGCAGAGTTCACATCACATTGCCCTCAAATAATGGGTGGAGACTACGATCATGATCAATCAGATTCGGTTGCTTCCGATGGATCAGCGCATTAGCTCCCCGGGCTACGGGCCCCGCCGCTAACCACATTCAGCGGCCATGGAACATTCTCTGCTCCTTCCAATTGGCGGAGCGAAAGTCGCTCATTCAAAGATCTTTTCCAAAGTTTTTTTGTACCATAGCGGAAGGTTCATCGAAGGATAATTTGTTTTCTATCTTTTACCGTTGTCATGAGATGGCGGTGGTGTTGGTGAAGGTTGTGTCTTGAGCTATCTATCTGCGTAGTGACTATATGAGATCGACTATGCGGTACCGCCACAGCAAGCAGGACGGCCTCAAGCCCCAAGCCCTTCGTATTTCACACAAGCGATACATACTGGTTGGTTGAATCTGGTGCCCGCTGAGTAGCAAGTGGATAATTACTCGATGCGGAGAACCCGGAAAGGGCATCGTGACCCAAAGGCACGAGCGGGCCGTCCTGGTCGGGCCAAGTTCCGTGGATCTCTCCAGAGCCAGGCAAATAGGATGCCATTCTACGGTTCTGGAGGGATTTGATCGTGTTCCAGAACCGAGTGGTCGCCGATATCAGCTCGCCATGCGCCTGATTCAGGACCTGCTGAATATCGTTCCATGAAACCTGATTCTGCATAGTGGCGTTCACTGACTCTTGCTGCTGCTGAATCTGGCAGAGCTCTCTTTCAAGCTTCTGACTCTCAACCAAGGCTTTGTCTTTTGCCGTGATAGCCTGCTGTAGTTTCGAAGTCTCCTGGGCCTTTTCAGCAAGCAGACGCTGCATGGACTGAGAGTTATGGACTCTCTCTTCGTCTATCTCCCCGATAGCTAGTTCAAACTCTTTTTGAATCTGGTCCATCAAATCCAAACAGTTTTGATGGGTTGCTTCATGATCTTTCTTCCGGGCGCTTTTCGCTATAGAATGTCCCTGGAAACGATGGTCAGTCAAGAGCACATCATTTAACGAAGATAACATGATGAGAGTGACATACCCGCCCTTTGTGTAGCTTCGCTACCGAGTTGAGGGGGCTACGGTCCCTACGGTCCCCTTTGGTCGTAGAGCCTGTCGACCGAGCAGAAAAAGTCGAACCAGCACGCGACCTGCCAGCACGGGACTTTGCTTTGGCAGCACCGCGTTCTGCAATCCGAGAGGCCTTGGGGTCATTTGCCATACTGATCCCTTCCGGTCGAGGGATAATTCTTGGTTCATGCAAGACGCTGGGCAAACTAAAGAAGATTTGACCGCAGTTGCCTCCTGGGGAGCAACGATTTTAAAGGTTTAGGTGGGGACAAAAGCAAACGACCTGAAACGAGGTGAAAGCGCAGTTAGCCCTTGCCAAGACTTTGTTGCTAGCGTCCGGACCCGTGAGTAGAAGAATATCGCGTGACCACCTGCACACCGGACCCCATGGGGTGTTAGTGCGAAACGAAAGAATAAAATAAAATAAATTGAAAACAGAAGAAAGAAAGAGAAGAACCTGCCGATCATTGTGGAGGAATTGATCGGCCGGCCCACACAGAGAACTACATTCATGCAATCAGTGGTGTCTCAATACCGGCTCGATTCAAAATACTCCGAGCCGCTCTCGCACACGAGGAAGGCTGTTCTGCAC